ATGATGGAACATAAAATCAATAAGGACTGCAGTACAGGTCATGTATGCTTGTATACTGGAATAATTTTGATAAATGTGACTAGATGTATACAGTATGTGCACATACACCTCCCTAATATTGTGTATCTCCCATTCGTGTCACAGAAACAGCTCTGATCTGAGCAGATCTTTTGGGTCTTGTGTGTTGCTGGGTGGGGCTTGTCCAGTGCCTCCAAAAGATGCTTGATTAGATCAGGCTCTGGTTAGTTTGGACATCAGCCAAATGCCTTGGCCTCTTTGTTTTGTTGCTCAAGTCATTCCTGAGGAGTTTTTGCAGGTGTGTCAAGGTGCATTGTCCTATTCGGGGTGGGTAGCTGATAGACTGGAATAGACTGGTGCATACATATATAGAAAATCTCATTATACGTGTGTACAGTCACATATGACATTTGAACATTGGTGACATGGCCACCTCTGTTCACAAAAATAAAATAAAAAAATTAAATTTAGTAGATAAGTTATAAAAGTTTTTCATCAATTCTAACATGTAGAAGAAGTGAATGAAAGTCTGAATCAGTTGTAAATGTGAAAATTAATTCTGACAAAGGCATAGTCACATTGTCAAGTCTGGAAAAAATATGTATGACAAAATGACAAAATGAAAAATGTAATTATGGAGATGGTGCTTAACTGTAGAAAACAAGCTTGAGTAACAATTTTTTCCTGCTCTTGAAATTTGAGGGAAGACTTCATTTTGTTTTTTGGACAGTCGTTTACCATCCAACATGCAGCTTGCACAGAGAATAAAGACACTGACAAACAATTATGCAGAGGGTTAAGACAATTCGTGCCATTTGGGGTGATGGGGGTATACAGGTGGGTGTCGTCTGCATAAAAGTAATCAGCCATGTTAGGTTTTTAGACTAAATGACCCAGTGGAAGCATTGAATGTAGAGCAGAGTTTCACGGCACTTTACAAGTGATGCTAGCAGAAAAGAATAAGGAACAACAATGAAATTCTATTTTGATATGGTCGTATGCCAGCATGTTTGAAACCGAAGACTTTTAGGATTTTAAGCGATAACTGTACCTTGTCGGGTCTTTACTTTCAACTATGTTCTAGTCTATGGTATTGAGATTTTAGTTTGTGAGTTTGTGTTTTAAGTCATTTATATTATTTTGGTTTAAAAGGTGCAACAGCTTGAGTATCACAGACTGTGGTGATGTGGAAGAATTTGAATAAAATTCAATTCAATTTTATTCAATTTTATTTGTATAGCGCATATTTACAACAACAAGTCATCTCATAGCGCTTAGCAAAGGCAGAAGCACCCAACCATCCAAAACATTTGGATTCCCTATAAGCTTCCCCCTGCGGGGGAAAAAAAAAAAACCTCCGACAGAACCAGGCTCAGGTAGGGACGGCCATCTGCCTCGACCGGTTGGGTGGATGTGGGATGAATTATACAATTTAGTGTACAGTTAAACAAGTTATTAGAAGTTATTGTCCTTTTGTTCCTCCATTTCAAATGGACCAATGAAATATTCCATTTCGTAGTTGGTGGAGGTAACAGGAGGCATCATGGTGGGGGCAGCAGGATGCAGAAGGTGAGGCCAGCGGTTGTAGTTCAGGAGCTCCAGATCCAGAGACATCCACCGAGAGAACAGGTGCAGGAGAACCTCGGGGGGAGTCACAGAGTTAGTCATATGTAACGGTGATATACAACTATATAAACATATACATACATAGACATATATATAAAGAGGAGAGGGGAGGAGAGAAGCCCAGTGCATCATGGTAGTCCCCCGGCAGTCTAAACCTATAGCAGCATCACTAATAATAAAACACTCCAATTATTACCATCCACTTTCTGAGGTGGTTCTATGAAGGACATGTTAAATTGATAATTCAGTGATCAGATATCCAATATGTAGTTATACGCTGCATCTAAAGAATCCAAAACAAATATCAGATACAAGAACAAGAGCCAGGATATGCCATTTTATGTGTACGTGCCCTTTAACTGACTGAAAGACTAAAAGTGTCAATCAGATTAATGAGGTCAGTGGAGAGATTAATCTGAAGGACAACAAACATGAATATTAAAATCACCAAGTATCAAAACTCTATAATATTTAGTCATAAATTAAAGATAGCAGCTCTGGAAATTCTGAGATAAAAAAAAAAAAATGACTTGAGCCAAAGTGATATTTAATATGTAAACTAAGTCAATCTTTAATAGACTGATGTGGTGTTTATGAGGAAGCCGTGGGAAAGGTAGTGTCAGGTCCACCCGACATATCACCGTGAACTGAACTAATTGAAGATTATGGTGGGGAGTATGCCGTGCCTCTGCCAGCAGATAATCCCTCATCAGCTGCTGTCTGGACTCAGAATGAGGAGTGCATTTCATGGAGGGACTCCCCCCATGGAGCTGCAGAAACTGAGAGGCAGCCTGTTTAATTACTAGCCCCACTAGCAGCACTCAGAGCTGGTGGAGGCCGGGGTGGGACAACGGGGCTGAGGTTCTGGGAGTCTTATGGGGTGGGGGGTGGGTGAGGGAATGCCTAACCCCCCCATACACACACACACACACGCACACACACACACACACCCAACTGTGGAAAACATGAACAATGAGATTTTGTTTAGACTGAAGGCTCTACAGCTTTGCCTCAGTTGCCATTGTCCCCCAGACCTTTTCTTAAACCCTCGTAGGTTACAAATCCAGACGCATATTGAGTCATTCATGAATCTGTCAATGACACGGTGAAGCCCACATAGAGAATCCTGCTGTGAATTTAATGAACGTGTTTTCCTATGGATGTAGCTCTGAAAGTTAACAGAGCAGCACAAGTGAGAATAGGAGGAAAGTTAGTGACAGCCAAGAGTGTGAGATCTGCTGCCAGATTTGCTTTATGACCTTGTTGGATTTCATGCAGCATTTTAGGGGAAGTATTGTTTGTGAGTCTGGAGGGCCGTGCACCGAAAAACAACTGACCTTCAAGTGAGCGGTCAGTTTATTAAGTTAAGTATGCTTTATGTGAAAACAGTCCCAGTTTCTCTCAATCCAAATCGAATAAAAGCTTCTGCTGCAAATATAATGCAGAAATGGGGTCAAAACATCAGTGAGAATGTTCTCTTTGTAGATGGTAGCCCTATTCAGAGGCTGCGGAGTGAGCTTCAAGAGCTTCTGCAAAACACTTTGTTTACCAATAAGCATGGCTTAGTGTGCAAAGAGCCTCCAGACAGGTCAAGGAGCATTCAAGCAAAACATCTCAGCAGAATCACAAGGAGCTTCAGCATTTTACCCCATGGCTAGAACTCACACTTATGGATGACTTATGGAAGCGCTACTGAATTTGAGGAAAAGCAATGAGACAAGTCAGTCATAATCTTTAATTTAAATATCAAGTGGCTTTACAGTTGCAAGCCTGATGTGTCTGAACTCTTGGTTAAGCAGCAGAAAGGATTCATTACTGTAAGTAAAGTATAAGAAGTATATGTTTGTATAAAATCTAATAATTAAGTATATAATATATAGTAGAATATAATAAAATTTTTCTCGGATTAAAACTCAATATTTTGTAAATAATTCAAAGAAGTAATTAAGTGTAGCTATTAAGGAAACGTAAACTGTAAAAACTTACTAGATTAGTTTTTTATTATTATTTTTCTAAATGACAAATTAGGCAACACACAGTGAGGCACATTTTGCGAGTTAATCTTGCAAGTGCTAAAAATGGGGACAGACCATAATCATAACAAAGGAGTGTGCATTCCTTAAGCACTCACAATTTGTGCACGAAGTGTATCTTGTGCAAACACAAAACATCTCGTGCAATCGCTGTGGTTTTTCTTCTCCTTGCACTCCCTGAAGAAACGTCCTTATAAAGCAGTATGACCGAAACGTGGTGCTGCAGCGCTGAGCCAGTGGACACTACAACACTGTATTGAAGGCGAGCAGAAGTCTCTCCTCAACAGCTTAACATCAAGCCCACAGTAGTCATTTGATTTGACAAGCAGAATCATAGTTGTGTCTTTGTCCTTGGATTCGTGTCTGGAGCAGCCAGACGGGCTGCTGCTGTAGGCAAAACCTTGGTGTTTCCAGAGACTTTCGCTGCGCAGCCTGTGTGCATGTCATCAATCCAGCAGCTAAAGACCAACATATGGCTTGACCAGACCTGATGTGATCAAGATTCAGGCTGTTCTGAGAGATCATTCATAATTCTGCGACTGGCGTTTCAACTACAGATGGTCTTCTTCAGGTATTGTTCTGCTTCGCTTGTGGATAAATGCTCTGACATAGCAGATCTGAGGTCAAACTGAGATATAAATGGATTTAAAAGAGTTTCTTTCTTAACCTCTTGTTTTGTATTGATATTTCTAAGCACACGCTGTCAAATATATCACACAATATTGCTAATAATAGCTGTGAAGCCAAAATGCATTGCAGGCACATTGCAGTTTTGAGTTAGCGACAGACACAGAGAGCAACAAGTTAATTCCACTTATGTGGCATTCTAGGAAATGTAGAAAGTCCTAGAAATAGAAATCGATAAGGCAAACCTCAAAATAACATAATCACTGTTTAAGATGATCAGTTTGGACCCATTCTTTGACATTTATAGACCCAGAAAAGGGAAACTACGCAAATAGAACTATCTCGAGGGATTAACTCATGACCTTAAAGGTGAACTATTTGCCTCAGTGTATTGAATATAACTTACTTGGAATTTCTTTCTGGAAACAGTCAGAAATCCCTGACGCTTTATGTCATTTCCTTTGGCACAGGCTCATGGTGCCTGTCTTGCCCTCAGCCCACCGCTCTATGAACTCGATCACCCCGCCCTGTAAATCCCTGCTCTCTTAACTGCTATGATTTTGTCACATGAACTGCAGAGGCTGAAAAGCTGTGCACGCACAATTATGTGAGGACACGTCACAAACGATGGTCACACTCATGCACAGCTAATCTCATTACCCTTGTCTCTATGCAGCGCGGGGTCAACAGGGTTGCATCGCTTACGCCAGCACAGCGCGCCGGGATCAAAACGATCACTGAAGTCACCTCGATCTGAGAGGCGGTGTTAGTTCGCTATCAAGAGGCATGAGGAGCAAAAAACATGTTGCTGGGCAAAACTTGTTTGTGTGCCCAGGGTGAAAAGTCAGCCCAGGCTGTGTTTACTGTCTGTCAGGTCTGGTATTTTAGAGCAGCTCATGCAACAGGTGCAACTTAAGATACAGTGAGAGTGAGCTATTCTGAGTGATAGCTCAAGTCACCATTCAAACACCCCTAAGGCCACTCAGTCTGTCTGAAGGAGAGCGAGTTACTTGACTGCTCAAGTGCACAGCAGACGCTTGGTGCTCAATTGCTGACAAATGAGAATGTGCTTATTCCAAAACGCCTCCTTGCAACACAACAAAGAAATATAATGAAAATAAGTCGACGTATTAGCTGCCCTTGTAAGGCACAAAACCTTTGGCCAGTATTGCTGAAGTGTGCATGAGATTTGATGCATCAAAGAAACCATAACCATGTCTTCAAAATAGGTGCACTAGCAGTGCATTCTAGAGAGAGGAGAAAAAATACTATTCACAATATTTCCTCTTCCATTTGTGTGTGCTTCACAGGAAGATGAATGCATTTTGCATTGACCACAGGGCAGAATCACATCTGTAACAGCCTGCATCACACATGCATTAGTTCATCAGTTGGTTCCATTGACAATTTTAACTTGCGTGATGTTTTAATTCCTGCTACTCTAATATTTTATCAGCTAGACTTTGTACAGGGATGCTTCACCAGCCAAGATGAGTATTTTCCAATAATATTTCTAATGCTCCTTTCAGACACAGTTTACAATTTGAGCAGTTTGTACCTTCTAAGTATGGCAATGATGATTTTTTTTTTTTTTGCATTCATCCTAAACATCATATGACCTTCATGGATACTAAACTGCACCTACAGCTACACTGGAAGTCTAACTTTTTCAACAGAGCAGATTGTGTGAGTTTGGCAGCAAATATTAACTCATTAATCCAGCAGCCTGAAGCAAATAATATAACTGGTTGTGTAGGTATCTTAAAATAAACCTGGAAGTCATGGTGCTCCAGGAGTAAAGGCACAGCAGGACCTGAACCATCCGCAGAAACCAAATCAGAAAAACCAAACGAAGCCAAATAAATATTTTTTTTGCTTCCCACAAACGTTACCAGTCAAAAAGAAAAAAAAAAGCCTTGTCGGCTGTGATAATAACTTGCAGCCTTTTACGCACAGCGGAGTGAGTCAGATTCGCCGCGCAGCCGAGGGGAGATATTGGGGACAGACTGCGCAGCGGATAAAACAGATGAAAAGCTTTCTGTGGGATGTGTATAATCCTGTCCTCACGACAGCCGTCAGACCACCTCGTAGATTATAACTCGGCGGATCATCGTCGTTCTACGCTATTTGAATTAATTGAAGAGCAGCGGTGGCGACAAATATTCCGTAAATATTTCACTCTTGCGCTGAATTTCCTGAGAAGTCAAACAGCAGCAGAAAGCGGAGAGATCTCTTTTTTGTGTGTCGCCTGTTGCGCTGTGCACGCACAAGACGCAGACTTGCAGTTGACAAGCACATGGTGCCTTGTTATGGTGAGTCTCCTGCAACTTTTCCTTTTCCATTTAACTTGTTAGGAGTCGTTGTGGAAATGTTTAGCAAAATTGTAATGGACACATCAGTAGTTGTTACCCAACAGGAGGAGATATAATTGGAAAAACCTACAGTATTCTTGGAATATTTACACTGGGGCTTGTAGTGTGCTCTTTAAATGGACTTTCTCTTGTAGTTTTGCTCTGGTGTGACTTTAAAAGCTTCTGTGTAGCCCTGATAAGAAGCTGGAACATCACATCTAATGCCATGTTTTGTTATAATAATTATTCTGTAGGATTTTTACACTACATTCACGAGGTTTTGAACTGATCAATGCAATACTTCTGTGGCTTTTCACTTCATTTGTATTTGTACACACAGTTGGTAGGTGTCATGTGGCTTCAGGTACAAAAGCGCAACGCTTTACACTCAACCTTTGCCGTGTTCAGTGCAAAATGTGCAGCTGCTGAGTGCAAACTCCAGCTCAAAGGAAGGAAATCCGTGCAGCACAAACAGTTGCCTGGTTTCTGTTTGATTATTCTGAAAAAGAGGTGAAGTTTAGTGGTGAAAAATGATCTGATGAGACACGCAGAGAAACAGAAAATTGTTATTTTCAGCATTTTAGTTCAGTAAGATTGAGGAGTGTTCACACAACTTGTTGATGTGAGGCTGACACGTAGCTGTGAAAGTTAAAGTCTGTGTCAGAGGTCTGGTTTAGGAATATAATTTACTGATTTTAAATTATATTATTTGGTCTGATAAACCAAAGGGAGGAAGAGCACCTGATGAGAATTTATTTAAGTAATGAATGTCAAAAATAAAATATATAAACGTTACTCATGAAAGTTACTTTAAAAGTATGTTGGGATGACACTTCAGTACTTGTGTCAGCTGTGCAGCACTGTGTAGCCTCTTGGTATGATAATATTTGAAGTACATCATGTATTTACAGGAGTTTAAAACACACACACACACACACACACACAGGTTGTGCCGTAAAATCTCAACGTACTCATTTTATCTTCTTCTGATGGTTGAATTTTCGACACTGGATGTGGTGTTTGTAGTTTTTCTTGCTTGTGACCTCTTTTTGAGTCTAAAAGAAAAGTGAAGCACCAACTCTGAATCAATCTAACGTAATGACCCGCCGCTAACGGCTGAGCATAACCAGACTGATGGGCTTTTTCTGTGTCTGCGAAATACAGAAACACCTGGAATGTGATGATAACATCTTTCATATCCTAAAGAGGAAATATTGCTTTTTCTTCATGTACAGTTTCAGAATAAGCAACATAAAAAAACAACCTTTAGAAAACCCACCAAGTGAAGTTGTGCTTGTCATATTCTTATGTTACACTCTCATTGCCAAAAATATTTTTTGCAGCCACAGCCACCACAGTGGTCACAGTTTTGCTACCATTTAAAAATTAGTCATTTAATGTGGCCCAAAGGAGATTTGTCCTCACCTTTATGCATTTATCGACAATTAGTGTAAATCAGTGATAATGCAGGCTGCCGTTCTCACTTCTAATCTCTGTGTCATTGTCAAAACACATCCACGTCTCTGTCCAGATGTGTGTGTGTGTCCCGTAATGTTACCACGCTATGTTTTTTAGCTCTTATTTGCTTGTACAGCTCCTCAGTTGAAAACGCTGTGGTGTTTGTTGCAGGAACATTGAATCTTTAATTACATTACAGCTGCTTTTAAAGATTCCTGAATATGAATTGGAGAACAAGGTCACAACAGCGACGGTTGTTGTGAATGCATATTTTGTGCCTCATCGATCACCTCCTTCATTCCTTTTTTATCTAAATCTGCTCACTGATGTTCTGCAAGACAGTTGCACAAATATCTTCTGTCATTATCAGCAGCGTAGTTATTAGTGCATTAAAGCTTCTGGCAATATCATACAAAAGGCTTTTATCTTTTCTGTGTAACCTAATGCTTAATGTTTGCTTAGTGCAAGATCTAATTTGACTATGAGACTTAATGAGTGTATATTTACAAAGTCAGCTGCACTCCTCCATCAGCAGCTTCATATATCATGCTATGTTGACATATAAATGCCGACTGCATTTTAGGAGCAATTATACATATATATATATAGAATTTTTTTGTACCATTTATCAATAAAAGGTCAATGTTGTTGGTATTTATGTCAGGTTAATAATTAATAGCACCTGCTTTTCAACGCCGGTCATTCTCGGAAACATAATTACGAATAAATCTGCGAGTCTGGTTGTTGCTGTGCTGCAGCAGACTGTTGACTGTCATCCTGCAGTGGGAAGAAGGAACAGGTGAACACTGTCAGGCAGCTGAGCCAGACAAGCCAATAAACCAGCCTCAGGACACTGCTGACTGATGCAAAACTTGCCTTCAGTCGTCCCTCAGTGCTGCTGCTGCTGCACTGAAAACTAAGTACATGCTAAAAATGCTGTTTGTCCAGGAGTTACGGTACAAGCTGTTAGTGTACAGTGCAGGACATGTAAAATGGCACTTACCCGTCTCGACTTCTCTTATTCGGGAACGCATTTCCCCTGTGACTTTAGAAATGTTTTTTTAAAGTAGAGCATGTTTGTATGTGTGTCTGTTTGGGGCTTTTATGTGCATTACCTAATTCCACAGTGAGCAAAGATTCCGCAGTGATGGCTGTGTGGTCATGTGTGTATGTGTGTGCGCACACACACGTGTGTATGTGCGACTGAGTGTGCACGCTCCCTCCCCTCCCCCATCGCTTCCTTGTAAAGCCGACAGAGAGCACACTAAGTTCATCTAAGGACAGGGAAATGCTTTTCTTTCCAGTGTGAATCATTTTGGAAAAATGAGCCTCTGGACTGAATTGCCCCAGCAATTTGGCATGTTTCTCCATTCTGCTTTATTGTCTATTTTGGCTGAACTTGCAGTTCTTCATTTCACTGCCAAGAAAACTTCAGGTCCTATACAACAGGCAAAGCCAGTTTCTGAGTCAACTGCAGCCTGTAAGCAAATAAAATAAATCTCGGCAAAATACTGCCACAGCTTCCTGTTTAGCTGGGAATTCCAAAGAGAAGCGAGCGAGCCCATACTGTAAGTCCAGTGTCCCCAACACCTTGCAGTGGCGTGGACAATGCACCTCTGTGGGCTTTACACCTTGAAATAAAATTGCACAGGGGAAGTGACACAAGCCCACATTTTACAGAGGTGTATAACGTGTTTAGATTGCGACCCACCTCTTTTTAAAAGCCATTTTCACAGCGCAAAGTATCTGCTCTCATGCAGTTTGGAGGAAAAAACTCTGCAGTGCAGTGAAAAGAAAGTGGGAGTGGGACTAGGGTGGGGGGGAGCAATTTTGCAGTCAGCCAGCCAGCCAGCCAGCCAGCCCCCTTATATTTCTGCTGTTCCCCCCATCGGAGGGAGCAGAGATGGGAGAAGGGGAGAGGGAGTGGCCTGTGCTGAGGTTTGGGTGAGCCAGTGGTGGGCTGTGGCAGCCGGCAGCTGGGCTCCCACTACCTCTGTCCTCCAGCTCCAGCCTGAATTATGAAGGCTTGGGAATGGCAGCAAGCCTAATTACAATGACTGATTGCCCGTCTGTTGGCATTTCTCAGATGGTGATTGTCGTGCTTGTAGGATACGAGGCGAAGGAGGAGGGCCATTTCTCATTGGCCTTCCCCTTTCTTTCTTTGCATGAGAACAGCCACAGATTGAGATCTGATTGGTTGCAGAGAAAAGAGATGTTTCATGATTTGGCGAGGCAGAACTGGTGGAAAGCCAGAGACAGGTGATGTTGCACTGTTGGTGCGTTGTTGTAGGCTATTCAGCCATTGGCACAAATCACCAAAAAGCTGTGTGTTACACCACAACAGACCAATAAAATATGTTCTTGCTATTATACAGAAATACTGACGGAATTAATATGTTTTTGATGCCGTTAAGAACCTTGTCTTAACCGGTCACTAAAAGTGGCAAATTTTTAACTTGTTGACTTCTTACTGTGTATCTTGAGCATTTTCTTCGTCTATACCCCTGGCATTGTCAAACGAAAATAAAAAAAGGAAAAGGAGAGGTCTTGAATTGGCCATTTGTATGTCAGCAGAGCACTCAGAGGTGTGATGTGTGTGTTAAGTGGGAGCTGGTTTGAGTTGGTCTGCCCTGCTTTGTCCAATGCTTTGGCTTTTGTTCCTCTAGTAATGAATTGTGGAAGCCTTGGCTTCAGCTGGAGTGTCTCATAGCAACTGAAGAGAGAGAGGGAGAGCTGAAAAGGCCAGGGGAGATCATGTGTTTCTTTCAAAAGGGCAAGACAGACCAGACCATCATTTGGGCACTTTTGTGAAGAGGAAAAATCAAACTGGACAGTTTGTCCTGTCTGGACGTGACATTATTTGGTACCTTTATTTTAAAAATGACTAAATTTTAGGGCCTGAAATGGCAGAATGTGTTCTCTGAAATGTTTCTGCTTGTTAGAAAGTGCGTTGTACGACTGTGTTGACCACACATGTGAGGTAATGCAGCAGTGGAGTGAAGTGATAAAACAACACGATTAAAGATTTAAAAGGAAAATGCACCGAGACAGGCAGCCTGCTGTTGTGGCAAAGACCGTCCTGTGAATGAAAAATCAGTCGAGGCTTTATGATAGGTGGAGCTGCAACTTTTACAATGATGTTTACCATTGATTAATTTGCAGATAATTGTTTGATTAACTGAATAATCTTTGTTGCTATGAAATCAAAATAATAAAGAAGGCCTTTCTAGTGTCCATGGTGTCCTGTAATGTCTTCACATGTCTCGTTTTGCCTGAACAACAGTCCAAAACCCAAAGACATCCAGTTCAGAATCCTAATATTGGAGTAATTGGAACCGTACAATCAGTTATCAAAACAGTTGCGTAATCATTCTCTAACTAATCACTTCAGCTTCAATGATAGGTGTTCTTTCTGTCTTACTTTGATACCAAATGTGACCTTACTACATTCTGACCCATTTGGACACAGTAAATACATACATTTTGACATGTCTTAGACCAAAGCAATGAAACAAACAGGGTTTTTTGTTGTTGTTGTTATTGTTGTTGTTGTTTTTAAAACAAATACGTAAAACTTTCACATCACTCTACCATTCACCTGCATTCAACTCAAGGTGTTTAGTGATGGTTAAGCATCTTGAATATCCAGCGGCACCGTTGATTAACTGAAACCCAGTACCGCTCTGGGTTCCTATCAGTTATCAGGTCAGCTGGCAACTTTCCCCTCTGTGTGTGTGTGTGTGTGCGTGTGTGTGTGTGCGTGTGTGTGTGTGTGTCTGTGTGTGTGTGATGTTCCAAGTGTGGTTTTCTGCGTGCGTGTACATTCATATTCGAGCGCACACATGCGTTTGAGTACGGACGCGTATTCACACCAGGTTAGTTTTTTATTAACCGGCGGCCAGTGTTGAAGCCCGGCCATGTTTGCCCTGTGACCCAGACACTACCTGTCTGCTGCCATGGTTACAGGGACAGAGCAGGTTTAGTGGCCTGCCTCCAGGGATTACTTTCCCTGGTCTTAACAATCAGGCCTGTGCCCCAGTGACTGTAAAATGGACCAGACTGCACCCTAACAGTTAAGGGAGCTCTGCAGTGTGCCCTGGTGGCCTTTAAAACTGTCTTAAGTGCTGTGCGAGGGATTAGACCTGTACGACGTAATTGTTCTGGTGTCAGTGACTGTCCCTTTGTGATCAGGTTCACTTGTAGTGATTAGCTCTCATAAATGAAAGAGCTCACGGCGCTCACTGGATACAGGGCTCGAGTTAAATACACATGTTGAATCAATTTTCTTTGTCTTGCAGAGATAAAGATTTTGTGAGCAGACACATTTTTAAATTTTTGCACACATACTGACATCTTTATCTCTTTCTGTTCACCCAACAGAGCAATAAACGGAGGAAAAAACCTGAAGGCCCTGAAGCAATCGTGAGTACTTTTTATATACACGTGGTGAACACAATGACCTGAACATCTGTAAAATATAATGGCCAGATAATACATACTAGTTTTTAGAAATTCTGTTCATATCTTCAGTAAGTAAGTGATGTGTTGACTGATTTAACGATTGAATAAGTCATTGTGCACATGGACAAAAAAACAGCAGCACTGAGTTGTTTTTAGTGTAACACTGCAAATGCAGTTAAAGGCAATGACACACAAATCCTGCACGCACAGATGCGTCAATACAAATTGAAGAGTTACATTACATTGAATTGTGTTCACGGTTTTACATATAATCTATATTCCAAGTCTGCAGAGAATGAGTGTGATTGAGTTTTTTAAAAGTCCTTTGGCTCGTCCTTTCTGTGTCAGCGACCTTGGAAACAATTGAAAATGTTGACAGGACTTAATTTGCTGTCGACTCCAAGAACCTGGTCTTGTCTGGCTGACTAGATTGGTGTTGACGTTTTTATTGCCATTCGCTGACTGTTCATTGTTATTTATGCTGCCTTTGATTTCGGGATCGAACGCTCAGGTTAAACACCCCGCGTGGCCGCAGAACCGGCCGGAGCACTGAAGTCAGTGTGCTCTGGCCCAGATTTTTTTTTAGTGACTTTGCAGAATCACAAAGGCTTCTCTTATTCTCTCCAGTGACTTGCAGTCTTACAGGTGTCCACCAGATGCTGCAGGCAGCCTGCACTGTCCCTTGCATGTCATCCAGTCGAGCTGTAACATCCACTTGGAGCAAAGGGTTGGAACTGTTTCCATGGCATTAGGATTAAATGTAATTTAGTTGTGCATCATAGAAAATAGGTCCCCATTTTAAGCTATTAAGTAGCTTTGATGATGCATCTGTTGCAAAAAGTAGACTAAGGGCAGTGTGATTAAAGACGTGTCTTTAATTCCAGTGGTTTATTTCAGATTTTTTGGAGAGATGATGAAAGTAGACTCTTGATATAAAACATTATAATATGTCAGTTGTAACCACTGTTTGGGAGTTAGCTGGAGGGTTTTTTTTTTTTTTTTTTTAACCACAGCTTTCAAATTATAGTACTTCATCAAAAGTTATGAGAGATTCTTGAAAGAATATTCAATATTGGTATAATGAAAGACAGTGCAAAATCAAGGGCTGTAAATACTGTATGCAAGTGAAAACTTCGTCCTCCTGGCCGTGTAAAACGCATCTTATGCAAACCTGCTCGAACGAGGGTGAAGCTGGGTAGTATCTCATGTCGAGCAGAGCAACTTCACAGTTAACTTTGCGAACAAAGCTAGCCCCGCCACAAGGCATGCTGGGAAGTTTGGCTGCTGGTGAAAGTGCCTGCCAGTGTCCAGAGAGCGGCTCTGAAAATCTTTGCAAGGGCTGAAAATGAAGTTTGAAAGTAGACGTAAGAGGAGCAACAACGCAGAGAGCTCTCACAGCTGTAGGCTGAGCCTTCTCTTAAAGAGATATTACCAAAACATTCCTCAGTCATGGACGTGGAAGTGAAGCTCCACAGTCGAGTGCTGTTTAATTGTACTGTACGTGCTAAACGTATTCTTTCATGTGTCGCTTTTGCAGAAGCTGCTTAGATGTACTTTTAAAAACAGTACTTGTGGTGCAATGTTCATATTCAAATAATTAGAGAAAATATTAATTTAAATTGCTCACCTGTAATTATCAAAAATGCATTAATGCCAATTCACTGTAACAATATTTTAGCACTAGAGAATGTGGATTTTAATTTGACCAGAAGAATGGAAATTGTGTGTGATGACTGAAATAGGCTTCAAAGTGTTAGAATTTTCAGTTTTAATAGAATTTGTCAATAAATGAGTGAGCAGAAAGAAGCTCAAGTGTTTTGCTGAAGGACACGTGACAGGTTGCATGGCTGATGATTTGCATTCGCTGTTGCTGGAATCGAATCTTTTACTTCTTAGCTTGCTTTGCTGTGTAACTAAAAAACCTGCAATAAGGAGGCTAATTTAAAGGCCTGCTTTATGGTTTTAGGCTCATTTATGAAGCAGGTCTTAGTACAGTTTACACTGAGGAGTTTAGGTTCATAAAGGGATTTTTTTATACTTAGCTCATGCTAAAAGATTGATTAAGAACAGTTGCTCTTTTCAGTGCTTCTCTGTTTCACAGTTAATCAGTTAATCTCAAAAATACACACTGCAATTATCGTTTTTACATTTTCGGAGCGTGCCTTCGCTCATGGCCACGTCCACACTTTTTCAGTTTTTAATATTCTCGTTATTAGTAATTTATGATTTCAATTTCCAATTTTAATTCCGTTTTGACGTTGAGCACAGAGCTGCAGCATGTGTGAGCCTGGCGTTGCTGTGATCGTAGTGGTGGTGGTCAGCTTTGTGTTGTGGAAGCAGCCTCAGCTCAGCTCGGCTCGGCTCAGCTTGGCGGAGTGGTCGGCAGCCTGGAGGGTCCTGAGCCTTCACTTCATAGCTCCCTGTTTGGCTCTCACACATTGTGCCATTCAGAGCTCCAGACCGTATATTCACCCTGCTCTGGGCACCCCACCATTGTGAGAGTGAGCTCATTTGAAAAGCCTTCAGGAGTTTCTGATGCAAGCAAGTCAGCGCTATTTGCATTTGTTCCAGTCTCACAGATTTTACAGGTCAATTGAGACAGGCAGAATATCGAATATGTGAGTGAGTTTTCCTCCTCGCTGTCAACTTCATCATCCTCTTGGCTTTGTTTCACAATCTCTAATTCACAGCTCCTGATTATTTTCCTAATGTCTCTTGATTTACTGAGGTGAAGTATATTAGGTCTATTGATCTGGTTTCTGCAGGAAATAGTCAGATCAAATGGGTCCAGAAGAAGATATCATCACGTATTGATTCCACAGTAAATACATTTAAATTATGAGATAAAGATTAAATGAAGAGAACCTTTTAATAAAAATCTCTTAGAACACCAGTTTGGCTCCAAAGGGTGCATTTTAATATTCTAAATTTAAGCCCTAGCACTTGTGCTATTGTTATTTCAAGTCCTTTTCCCTTATTTTTCTATCGCAGACAAGCATGTGTCCATATCTCTCTCCCTCTCCCTGCTGATTAGGGGCAGAAATACCTTTGTTGGCATCTAGGGTAGCAACAGGGGATCAGATAGAGGAGAAAGTGGTAAGTGCCAGCCTTTCATTCCTGGCCTCCTGGCAGGCAGACTGCAGGCAGGCCGAGCGTGGGTTAGACCCGAGCCAGCAAACCAAGACAGTGCTCAGACAAAAACACCTAATCACTTTAATTAGCCTAAGCCTCCCTAGTTGGGCTCATCATCAGGTTTGCTTGCTTGCGTGCGTGTTTGTGTGTGTGAGTATATAAGAGTGAGAAAGAGAGAGAGACGAGTAGAGACGATAGTGAGTCGTAAAAGTCCAATCTCCGTGTCAAGTTAGATTTAAATCTCAGCTCTGCATAATGGTTCAGATAATATTGCAATGAGTTAGAGGTTATACTCTATTAAGTAATTCAGGAACGCACACACAAACCCAAACTGTAATTTCTTTCACAGAAAGACCGATCTTATAGAAGTTTGTTGTAGTTTGCGGTTGCAGACAAATACGGGAACTTAATCAGTATTACAGTATTTCCAATAACAATGTTAACTACCATGGCTAGAGGCTATCCTATGTTTCATGTATTTGAGCTAAGCTTTTAAGGTATGATTAATTGATTTTGACCAGTAGGGGGCAGACAGGCCTGAAAACAAATCCCTCGCAATAACAATTAAATTTACAGGGTTGTGTTGTTTTGGCTAGCATGTTATGGCTAATGATGTAGGAAATTTCTACTTGTTTCAGTAACATTAGCAAGCATGTGGAACGATTTGGAATTTTGTGACCACGTATTGAATGACATTCAAATGTTCAATAGTCTGTGAAAAAATACCTCATGTTTTTGAAACCTAAAGCTTGGCTCTACGTGTTTTTATAGCAGGAAATTAACATGATCAACATAGAAACAAATTTTTAGCCAGCGAGCAAAAACGATATCTTAGAATAGTTATAGCAGGTTAGAGAATAAAAGATTAGAATTCAAGATTTGTGGGACAGCCTGAAATTTACACAAAAATGCCAAATGCAAATTCAAAATCTTAAGCGATGTTTGGTTGGGACAGCAAAAAGAGAAAAGGAGGTGAGATGAAGTCCACTGTTTGTTTACTCAGAATAAAACCATGTAAAATGTAACAGGTTACAAAAAACAATGAGCTGAAAAAGGTTCATAACAATGAGAATCATTTAAAATGCAATAATTGCAATATTTCTGATAAATGTGCTGCTCAAGATGGGTTTATATAATTATGTTCTTATACTATGAGTTTTGTAACTCCAAAGATGGCTCTTAACCTGCAGTTCTTCTTTCCTCCACCATGTCAAAGTCACTGCATCGCACAGTGTTGTATCTCAGAAGTACAGTTAGATGAACCATGTCATGCTTTTGCAGTGGTTCACACTCGAGTGTATTACCAGGTTTGGATTTTGAAAATATGATATCTCTGGAATCAAGCAGCCACTTTGGCTGTTGATCGCAAAAAAAAGTTAATTTTAAGATTCAACAACATTTAGCTTCTGCTCTTTTCGGTTCCTTCAACCAAGTATACACAAAACTCAGTCTTGTACAGTTTCAGATGTATTTTCGGGCAGAAAAATTGTATAATGGTGCTGGGAAAATAACTTATGCCACCTCTCTTGCTAACAAGCTTACTATAGTGAGATAATGAGCTCACTAACTAGCTAACATTAACTCATTAGCTATCGAGCGTGTTACTTAATGCATCCCTAGACAGAGCTCTCCGAAAGCAAACTCTGCACTTTTTCCTCCCACCTTAAAAAAAAAAAAAAGAATATTAACAACTTTCAGCGAAGTGCAAGAGCATCAGCAGCTTTAGCCTCATGTGAAGGGGTTCGTGACTGTCGTTATGGGGGCGCTGTCCATCTGTCCACTGCTGAAAAGGGCCATATGACTTGGTGCTAGCAGGATAGGAATCTGCCTGGCTTATACATTATGATGTCCTGGTCAGGGGAGGAGGCTGCTTATGGGATGTGACGTCTTCTCAGCAGACGGGATGTCAGTGGGAGTCACCTCTCCTCTCGGGGGAAAGGTTGCACCAGGATAGAATAGACACTTTCCGCATTTAACGCTCTCATCCGGAGATTGATAGGTTACAGGCATAACAAACAAGGATTGAGGAAGCTGCAGTGAGATAATAGAGTAGAAGACAGTGGCAGAGGCATCTGAATCTAAAGCTGAACTTGATGATGGATCTCATTTTCTCACCTTGACCGTTCAAATGAAAGGTTATCTCCTTTTTAGCGGGTCAAAAGTACAACTGTGGTGAGGTGATGCTTCTGTCTGAGTGTTTAACCTGTTAGGAACATGTGATAGTTAAAAAGTAGGTTAAGCTTTTCTAAGCCTGTAATCCTTTGTATCAGATAAGTTTTACATGCTTTCCTGTACTTGTCCAAACTATCTGGCACTACATTTGACAAACCACGTTTTCCCAAGCTGGTTGAAACAAACACTGTAGATTATTTGCAGTTAGTATTTGACCCTGGTCCACTTGTTAGGCAGCTGATGGATCTCTGTGATTCCACTATTGGGTTACCAGTCTCTGTATCCTCTCTGCAAGGCTTGTGCCCTCCTCCCTAATGTATGAACCTGGCAGGACCAGGGCTGCTTGGTTCTCCTTTTCCGTGCCCCATCCCCCACCAGACACAGTGATGGCACTCAGTGCCAGAGACACCCCTCCCTCCCCTCCCTTCCCTTCACCAACACTCTTCTCTCCTCTCCGCCCTCCCTTCCCTCTCCGCCGCAGGCAGACCCAGGCATGGGATCTCCATCTGTGCACAAAGGAGCCTCCTCTATCTGCATACGCTGCACATAAAAGGGCCTTTTGTCATGAGCTCTGCACACATGACCGTCCGCCTTTCACCCCGCTAGAAAAAAAGATCACTCTCTCCAGCAATCCAACCCCACCCCCAACACCAGACTCAACCCCGTCCCCCGACCCCCACCCCACCAGATTTTCGTCTGTGGAGAGTGAGAGAGAGAGGGAGAGAGAGAGAAAGAGAGAGAGAGATCTGCTCCGAACTTTGTCGAATAGAGACAACCATCAGATGGAGCAGCTTCCATCACTGCTACAAAATCCCATTTTCTCTTTTTCATTTCCTCTTTATCGTGTCTGCCTTCTCCTTCTCTCTCTTCTGGGGTCCTTGTGTGCCCTCACTGTGAGGCATCAGTGCATTATAGCATCTGCCATGCTGAAATATGAATGTGCTCCCATTTTTGCTGTCTCCCTTCCTTTCTGCAGTCTCTGACATTTAAGGGGCATTAGTGGTTGGTTCTGTGCCAGGTTATCACCCCCCCATTACAGAGGCACAGGCTCAATTGACAGCAGTCCGAGAGCTGAGGCTTTTCTCTCCCTCTCATTTCAGTGCCTCCTGTCTTTTAACCCCTCGGCCCCACGCTGCTCAGCAGAGCCAGAGGTATTTGTAATGTGTGGAGATAATGACAAAAAATTGTCTGTACACGTGAGAGCCATATCAACAAGACAAGGTAGAATTCTCCACCGTTGGGAAACAAGTGGGCTGCACGCCATTTTGGCTACTAAAGATGACAGATATTGGTGTTGGGGGATATTGAGTCGGGGTGGGGATGGAGCAAAGACACAGAGGCAGGCGAATACACACTGTCAAGTGCACGGGTGCTGCCACAAAAAACGCTTTCCTCAGCGTTTCCTTTGAAACACACACGGCCCTGATGCCTTGCTCGCAGCCAAACGAGTGTGGATTTTGGAAAGCCCTCTAGCTCATCTTGCTGTCGCTGCACACAGGCCTGTGGCGGAACGGAAGGATAAGATTGACTTCTCCCTCCACCGCCATGTCCTCTACATGACCCTCTGCCTCTCTGAGCTGGTGTGAGAGGTCAGGGGCTGCAGTTTCCCGCATGCTGTCCACACCTTCAGCCTGATGATGATGATGGTGATGGGTGGACCAGAGGATGTTACACACCATCAGTGTCAGCACACTTTAGCACAAGAAGTCCACACACAGAGGGACCCTGAGTCACAGAGTAGCATTATAATACTCTAGCATCAGTCAACTGGAGTGTTTACCTTTTTAAGTGTCTGTGACCATAATCATGAGAAACATGGCTGCTTTTCCTACAAAAATATTATAATATCATTAGACATAATGATTATGATGGCAACGATAGCAGAAATAATAAACATTGTTTTTTATCACACATTTAACCTGAAATGCAACTCAAACATCTTTATATTTAAAAAAACACACAGCTTCAAGCATTTCCAGGAAAAATAGAAGTGAGAACATATGACATAAAATATTTAGATCATTTAAAGTGCACATTCGCTTGCTGTATCCCAGTACATCCAGGACGCACACCAACCAGTTGTCAGCACACAGGATTACATAAAGAACATCTGCGTACACCCAAAGGTTCAGGCTTATGGAGGCAACCCCTTAATACAGCGGGCTTGTCCTCAGATGACCAAGCTCTTTACTGCCTGTGCACGCTCCTCTAATGGGCACAAAGATAACAGAGTAATAGAATAAGTCACTGCATCTGTACAAACTAATTTGTCTACTTAAAGGCAGTGCAGGAAACAACATACAGAAATGTACCTTTACAATAAATGATCATTACTTTAAGTGTCTGCATACTTTAAAATATTGTCAACAAGTAAAGTACAAAAGAAAACAAACATATATATATAAACAAAACATGTGCAATATATAGTTTTAGACATATATGGAGTTGGCATGAGGTCTGTTTTCTTTGAAAAGTGAAGCATTTTGGAAAGACGTATGATTTTGATATTTTTAAAAACAATATTTTGCAGGAATTGAAAGAGCCACTAAAATTGCAGAAAAAGCCCATGGAGTACAACCTCTGTTTACGCAGCTGTCCAGTGAAGCGCTGCTTTTCTCCCACATGGATAAATATCCTCCTGCTAATAGCATTACACATATCAATTATAGGCTGTCAGCACAAGTGGAATCTGTGTAATCAGTGTTTTTATTTGTGCCACTTTCGAATCAATATCAGGGCTTATAGTGTGTCGCCTTTTATAGGGTGCCGCATTTACTCTGCAGAAAGTTTGAAACAGATATGAAGCTCATTAAATAGCATTGCTGAATTGGGAATTGGACAAGCGTATGGAATATTTCCTTCCTTACTTGTTGTCTTCGAGTGAAGCTGTTGTGCACCTAAGCTAATATCGTTGTGGTAATCAGATGTTAGGAAGTGCTGCGAAGCGACTCGAGGGCTGCAGGCTCAGGGGCTCTCTGAAGGAGGAGAGCACGTTTGTGAATTGGATAAAGCGTATTAGGTGCATGTTTTGCTGTTCTCAGTCGAGCAAGGATGCTAGACGGAGTGTGTGAGATAACAAAACAGCACGCAGAAAGTGTTGGTTGAGGCAGTGAACCGCTGAGTGCGTATGGCTCAGCTGCTGGACTCCTTGCAGCCCTGCGGCGCAGACACAGGCGTTGTGACGTGGCCCCTAAAATGCCAGGGCTGCACACTCTTGGCTTAGTGATGAGGAAGGATAAAAACGAAATGGCCAAGGCTGTTTAAAGTAGGTACTAGCAGCCCTCAGGGGGGAAAACTGCAATGGGGAGAGTTCAGGTATGTAGAAGTGCGACACAGCTAGTCAAGTGGACAGAGAAGGAGAATGTACTTTTTTATTATTATTATTACGTGTCATTGACTTTTGAGAATTTGTCCCGGCACCTCAGTTAAACGTGGTGCCGCAGATCAGTCTTCTCACAGTGCAGTTTCTCTAACATCAGATTATACTCAGTGCCAATGTGTCTGACATGTACAGGGCTTTTACTACACTGAAATGTCTCGTGATTTCCGTAACAACACTGGTGTTACAACTAATAAATCATCAGTAAAAAGAGTTTTCAATTAGATTTTTTTTTTTTTTTTAAAGTTTGATTTCTTACATATTAATTTAAACAATATGTTTGCTTCTGCTTTAATGTAGTTTTGTCATCTGCAGCCTTGTAGTGTGGGATTAAATCAGCACACCATGTGTGTCAGCATTTCATTTTGGGCTTGTAATGTCACAGTATTTTTTTAAAAAAGTACGAAGAAACATTTAAGTTGGTAATAATAGCATTTAAAAAAAATAAGTAAATCTGTGCAAACTCCACTGTGTAGTCTGAAAATCGTAGTTGATTTATTTTCCTCTACTTTGCATTACCTATTTATGTTTAAAGTTTGATGAGAAAAATCTTAAAAGGATCACAGTTTACAGTTCAAACTAAATCTAAAAAACAATGCTTGAATTTCCTTTTAATGCATTGTTTTATTCTCAATATTGTTGATGCTGTGGCTGGATGTGGATTTCCTGCCTGAGCTGCCCTCGTTCGGTGCTGCCATACGAAAGCGGCCCTGATCCAGGACAATATGTCTGGCTGTTGAGGGGTTGCCAGAAGTAGTTGTTAGTTACAGTTAGGGCGCGTCCCTCCTAGGATAGGTTGTCCACTCTGAGGTCTGATATCGAATAGGTCCATAATTTCCAGCTTATTCCCAGGATAAGCTCTCCTTTGCTCTTTTTCTCTCTGTGTCTCCCTTCCTCCTCTTCTTCCTTCAGAATCCTGTGAGAAACAGTGGGGTGAGTTAATTCCTGCTTTTAAAAGTCTTTACTTGTTTCTGTTTGTTAAGATGAATTGAACTCTTGCACATGATGTCTCTGCAAATTCTATTTCTTTCGAATACGCCTTTTAAACGATCTTAAACGCAACTGAGGATTTCTTGTGATGTATTGGATTTATTTAACATGAAGGCACCAGATCAGAAGCTAGCTGAAAGGTGTTTGGCACATTGAAAAATCAAGGTTCTGCTTTGCTTTTTAACATAAGAGACCATTTCAAATGAAGTCGATTAAACTGAATTCCAATAGAACTAAATACACATAGATCCAATAATAACTGCATTTATAATTAATGAAGTGATTTAAAAATATGTCCTGTTTTAAAATGCTTCACTGTAGGACAGGGGGAAAAAATACATAATTATAAGTACATAACAGTTTATTATTTTAAGTCTAAAGGAGATGTTCTCTTTTAAATTTAATCAAGGTTTATCTTCAAAAATGTAACTTGTGTCTGTAGTTTGTTGTGACTAAAATCTCTATTCATCACTTCACTTTAGAAAGTTCATTCTAAACTCTCTTTTGTTAAGTATAGTTTTCCAAAAGTCTTAGTAAAATGTTAATGTGTGTTTTTCAACAGGGAAGGGCTTTTTGAGAAAGTTGTCTATGTGCTATGGTGTAATTGTATTTTTTGCAGAAGCAAAAATTAATACAATAGAAAGATAGCAAAACAAAAAAAGATGGGTTTATAGCATTAAACTTATATATTTCATACCTAAATGTTTGTCAAAATAAAATCAGTATTTTTGACATTTTTCATTTTTAACACTAAGTTCCCTCTTGCACCTTGCAAGAAAGCTATCATAAAAAAAAAGAGCTTTGTATTTTCCAACACTGAAATAAATTAAAGTTAAATACTCCACATTTTTGCAAATTATTGTTGAGCTTTTTTGTTTGTTTCTTTTGTGTATTTGTTTGTTTTATATATTATATGAGCTCAGCGTTTAATGAGAAATCAGTCAGAAGCTTTTTTTTTAACCCCAAACTAAATTTAAAACACAATATATTTTACAAAATACACTAAATCTCATACACAGACGTTTTGTTTTCAAATTAATTATGTATTAATAAATAAGGGCTCAGTTGTAATATCTAGAGGTGCTACATGTGAAAAGAACTTGTGGAAAAACTTGAACATGACCTTGATCTTGCAAACACACTCCAGTCCTGACACCCTTTTATATTCTGTATTTACTGGATTGATATTGCGTTTTTATTTCAGAGAGAGCTCCAAACCATCTAATGACATGCAGAAAATTCAAAAACAGTGAACGTGAAATATGTTTCATAAGAAGTTTTTACTGACTTGCTTTTTCCTGGACACGCAGGGTTAAGTAAGCTCAGCACGGCAGTTTGCTTTCACCTCTCTGCTGAGGCAAAAGTAATGTTCGAGTAGCGTAGAGTTTGTAAAGAAACTGCTCCTGTCTTTCCTTTTATTATCCAGAACATCAGTATTATCATCCTTTAATATATATAGAACATCATGACTGCGCATGTCTTGCGTCCACCATTTTGTGGTGAGAACTTTATTGCACGTGCAACCATTTTATGAACTTCAATCGAACACGTTCTTTCAAGTCGGAGGCCTTGAAAAAGGTTAATTTAAATGAATCGTGTTTAGTTAGGAAGCTATACTTGCTGGAAATATATGTACACAGAGGATGCACAGCCTGCTAATGCAAGTCAGACGTGTTTAATTTCTGAGCCTGAGTGCGATGCAGCTGCAAATACTATGCAGTCATAAAACTGAATCATTTATTTATGTTTGTTCAGACAGCAATGTTTTCGTTAAAGCTGCGCTGCACCTTGCAGTGATCCTCCTCATTCCTTGTATGTGTGCGCGAGTGTGCAAGTGTCAGACAGAGGGGAGAAAGTGGTGGTCACAGTCGGCTGCCTTAGGTGACTAGTGGGGTCAAAGGTCAGGCTGTGTTAATAAGATGTGATGTGCTGCCCTGGGACCTCGGTCCCGTGAGGGATAACCCCCTAATCGGCATTAGTTAATGTGTTAGTAATCTTTACCTTCTTAAAGCAAACAGCAGTGGAACATTCAATGGGCCCGCTTGGCCTCCCATGTAACACTTTTGACCTCAGGGTCATGGCCTTTGTTCCCTGCTCGATGGGGAGTGCCCTCAAAGGTCTCGGGTGTAATAGAGAAGTTGTTTAGACACGTGCAGGGCTTAAGTAAGACCACCTCATAGACTCTGCTCCTGCTCCTGGAGAGTATAAAGTCTTCCCTGGTATTGAAGGGATACTTTGTGGTTAGCTTTTATCCCCTTGACTAAGTCCATTAGAATACCTATGTGTTTTTATGTGCCACATATCATGTCTCGATGTTGATGTAGCAGTGGTTGCTGACCAAGCACTGAGAAACCCCTCTTTCACTCCCCCCGCAAACTTCCTAATGCCTCCTTGATGTTTGCAAATGCCTAAGTGCAAATATTGTTTGTCTTTGTGGATCCCCTGCCCACTGCAGCTCCATATTACTGCAGCCCTCCTCGTTGTTTTCTGCAGCACTCGAAAGAAAACTCCAGAAAACCTGTGTCTTTTCAACAGGCCCTCATCATGTCCACATATCTGAGCTCTCTGGAATACACAGTGTTTCCTCCTCGCAGACGAATGTCTTTTACAACACCAAAATATGTGTTTAGTGTGTTGTCCTGACTGCAGAAGACCACAGCATGGTCATTAGCACAATCAACATGAGACTGACGGTTTTTTCGAGGCACTGTTATGCAGGAAATTATTTTGGGATGCAAAATCACGTTATTTTCTCCTGACATTAGATACATATGCACTACATTTATTTATTTTTTTCCACTTTGTATAGTTTAACCGTTAAAAAAACACATTTAATCCTCTGTGTATTCATCTCAATTTGCTGTTTGCATTTTTTTTTTTAAAGATACAAATAAATAGAATTTTTAATATTATAATTTTCATCGGTTATCTGCTGCTTTTTGTTAAATCGACAAACCGATTTGCAGCTTACAGTGTTTTTGTTTCTAAAAATCATAGTCAAATGATGTGGAGCAGAGTCTATAACATGGCGCCATCTGCCATTTTGTTTCACATCGTATTATCAATCAGCCTGATTGACTGATTTTTGTAACACCCAGATGCAGCAGGCACGTACTGCCGAAGAGAAGCTGTGGCTTTTCACAACCTATTGCTTTAATTATGTAAATTAAAGAGGAGCTGCATTTTTGTGTCACTGTTAAGATTGATCAAATGTTCATCGTTTTTGATCATTTAATCTGGAAAAAAAACATCAAGTGGAGTAAGACTAGGTAAAACCGGTGTTTCAACTTCGTGCTCTTCAGCTGTTGATTTAGTCACTTTAAAATGCCTGTGTTGGTTTTTAAAATATCACAACGTGTAACTGCAAAATTAAGACATGATAAGGTAAACGAACCAGAGGAACAATGTGGAAGTGCACAGAGGTGAGAGCTGGCACCAAACCCAAAATCTGTATCCTGAAACGAACTTTATGTTGCACAAAGTTTAGTGTGCACACTAAGCATAAATTCACAAAGCGTGCCTCTCTAAAAGAGCTACTTTTATTCGTTAGAGTCCTCACATGTTCTGTTTTATGATCCAAGCTATTCCCAAAATTAGGTTTCCTAATGTATAGACATGGCAGCCTTATACATTGAAACCATAATGAAGTCATGGGTTTCTCAATTGGTTAAAACACATGGTGAGATGTGACGTATAACTGCACTCCTTCTAATAGGATTCTATAGCTCGTGCCAACGTAGACGCCTCGACCGAGCTCGTATCTCATTTAGGAAAAGAGAACTACGAGAACAAATAAATTGCAGTCGGACCTTTTTCCCGCACTTTGTTAGTGTAAATAAAGCCAGCGTTTTTTCCTCTCGCTGTCTGTACGCCGTCTCCGGCCACCTGTGTTTCTTACTGAAACCTGCCGAGCGAAGAGGAGTGCAGAGAGGGGAGAATAGTTTTTGTGGAGTCCAGTCCGTGTGCTGCTGTGGTGAGGAAGAAAGCCGGAGAGGAACGGGGTGGTGGCCGAGCTATGAAAGCAGCCCTCACAAACTGTGCAGCCTGAAGCAGTAGCAGCCATGTTAGACAAATCTGAGTGAGCATGAGCCCCTACTAATAATGCAGCGCACTCCAAAAACACTAACAGAAAGTTTTCACAGTGTAAAAGTAAGAAAAGTTGAACCCCCACCTTTTTTCTCTCATTGTCTCTGCTTAGGCATGTAGTCCCCTCTTGCCCTCTTTAATTCTCAGCAGTTTATAAAGCAGAAATGAAATCAAAATAGTTCCTCAGTAACAGATACACTTTACATATCCCCTTCCTCCTTTTCTTCCCTCATAGAGCTCCTGTAGTTCAAGGCCGAGGGGGGAAAAAGTTAAAGCCACGAGCTCTGCCTTTGCAGTTTTTAGAACCAGAGCCAAAAGAGGCAGGAAGTTGTTGTACAATAGCGTTACAGTAATCTGCCACAAATGGAAAAAGCCAAATGCTGATCGCCGAGTAGAGAAGGTGGCAGAACAGACAGAAAGAGGGAGGGAGGGACAGAAGGGGAGAGAAAGAGAGCTAGCGTGTGTGAGAATAATCAATACAATCTAAGATGGTGGAAACAGCCCTGCTGTTTAGGTCTCCCCCTCCGGTTCCCTCTCCGGCTCACTTCATGTAAATCAGTGCGTCGACTTGGTTTGAACAAATTGTCTTAGATCGTCATGTTTTCTTTTCTCTTTTTTCCTTCCTCTTCTTTATTTTTAAAAGGACAAATCAGCATCTCTTAGGTAGAGGGGGGGGGTTCACTAAATTTTCTCTTAACTGTTGAATGTTGAATACCGGGCAAGTGGCAGCTGTTTTTCCTCGAGGAAAAGCAGCGGAGTCTCACCCAGAAATGCTTATCAGCCTTTTGACTTTGTGCCAAAATAGCTGCAAGGGTTCAGCTCCAGCGTTCAGCTCCGCTTTGTGACAGAGCCGGGGCGAGGAGGAGGGTCCTAGCTCGGTGTTCTCTGCCACATGTTACAGAAATTAACACTCTCCACACTTTTCTCTTTCCCCCCTATGTGTTTCTACGTGTATGCGTGCGTGTCCGATCTATTCTACGCGTTCACGCTAGTCGCCGTGGCATGCCAAAGAGTTAATGCACTCCGAGAGTGTGTGTGTGTGTGTGTGTGTGTGTGTGCTCCTTTCAGTGTGTGCTCCCAAGTCTGCTGGAGCGACAAGAGCTCCACTACAGTAAGAGATAAGGTTAATAATTCAACAATGCTCTCAGAAGTGTTGCATATTTCAAGGATCCTTCAGCAGACCGGTCCACTCTGAATGACTGTGTGTGTTTTCCCCTTTTCTCCTGCTTTTCTTTTCACTAGTTGATATAGTTGCTGAGGTACTGTATAGTGTATCCCAGTATGGCGTGTGAGTGTGAGCACTGCGTCTGCGCACTGCTGGAGGAGTGGATTTCTGTGTCATTCTTCTTCCTCCACCCCTCCCACATTTAGTGCTTTCCTCCCTCCCACTATCCCTCTCTCTCTCTCTCTCTCTCTCTCTCTCTCCTCTCTCTCTCTTTCCCTCTGTGTCTCCCACCCATCTTATGCTCCCTCCCTTCCTCCTCCTCCTCCTCCCCCCGTCCCCCAGTGCAAATACAGTTCCTTGCCGTGTTGGACATGTGATGAAAAAGTGACTGGTTCGCGCGCTCCGCTGCACCTCCTATTTCATCATCAGCGGAGCTTTTCTCTCCTTCACTGTGCGCTCGCTGTCTCCTCCTCTCGTCCTCTCTCTCTCTCCCTCTTCTTTTTCTCTCTCTGTTTCGGTTGCTCCCCTCTTTCTGCTCCAGCCACACGCAAGGGGGAGACTTAAGCTCTGCGAGGGAAAAAAAAAAAAAAGAAAAAAAAAAGTCTGCTGCTATTTCTACAGTCAGGGCCTCCCCACAGCCCGCCCTTCCATAGACGGAGCTTTTTTTTTTTTCACTCACTACTGGCTGGATTTTAACCCTCTGCCTCCAACTAGCTGCACAGCAGCTCTGCAAAACCTGGCAACAAGTTGCTTTTTAGGGGCCTTTTCTTACTTTTGCCGCATTGATTTTTGCACCACTTTGGATTTTGGTACTGTTTCATCTGTTTTCCTGTAATTTATTTTCTAAAAATGTACCGTGTCTTCCTATTTTTTTTTTTTCTCCGCTGCTGGGTTTCTAGTAGTATTTATTTGGTTTCTCTCTTTTTTGGATGGAAATTTGTCAAGGTGGCGTTTCTCAGTGTGATGGGCCTTGTTCCACCTGGAGTGCCAGGGCGCCATTTCTGACGGGTAACCTGCTTGTGGTGGTCTCGTGGTCTGGATGACCACTATGGATGACAATCAGAGAATGTGACCAGTGTCTAAGCGCGGTGCACATATGTGTTTTAAAGAAATGTCCGCGATCAGCGCCAGTGACCGGCGTGAAGCAGCGCACCTTGTTCGTCTTTACTCTGTTTCTCCTTCTATTTCCTTTCCATGTCCTCTCTTTCGCTGTCTCTCTGTGTCTCTCTCTCACCCTTGTTCTCTCTCTTTCACACCGACTCGCTCTCCTAACACGGGAATGAGTGGTGTGCTGAGACGGAGCTCTTTCTGGGACAGGTGCCAACTGCAAACAAAAGACATTAAAAGGCAATAAGAGGAAAAAAAATGTTGTAAACTGTAAAATGTCAGCAGTAGCCCTGCATGTTGTGTCTCTACATGACCAATTTGTGCTGCCATTGCATGTTGGTATGAAGTATTATAACTGATGTTGTGACCGAAGCTGTTGGTAAGACAGAGGTTTGAATACTTTGCCACACTTATTCTAGTGAAGGCATTTCATTCGGGAAGAGGGAGGGAGTAATGTGGGAGACCAGCATATAGACTGCTGAATTATTCATGTGCTCAGCCAAGGCTGTGACTGGACTGGTTGTGCTATTTGCATGCATCAGACATGCTGTTTGTCTGTTTGCTAACATTCCTCATTCAAAGACTTGTTAACCAGCAGACGGGCTTAGCTGGAGCCTTGCAGACAGCCTCATGGCCTCCTATTGTTTCAGGCCTCACCAGGCCTGGACCCAGCTGGTGGCAGGGAAGCCGTGCAGCCCTGAGCTTGGGGCTGAGACTGTGAGGCTGAAAGAGGGAGTGAGTCTGGAGGTGAGACTGACCCGGGCGCTCAGGCAGGAGCTGGGGCCGAGGCACGGCTGTGAACGGGACAGTCTGAGGGGCAATCACTGGGTCTTGCAAGAAGCACCAAACGGGAGCTTATGGCTTTCTCCTCTTCTTGACAGAGATGTGGATGAAAGCGGGAAGAGCTACCGAAATTCGCATCCCGACCGGACATTTACCATCTTTCCCCTCAAAAATCGGTGAGTAATATCTGTTCCTACGTGTGTGTGTGTGTATCTCTGCATGGTTTCGATGGAAGTTTATCCGCGTATTTACGTTTTAGGCTTTCAGTGTTTAACAGGAACCCTGAACAAATAAACATTCGATGCAGTTGAGCTTCCTGCACAAAGTTTCTTTTCACCTGAACGTGCATTTCCACATCTGAATCTAAAAGCCTGCGTGCACATGTAGCTCAGGAACACATACAATAGCACATATAACAACGTCAGCGACTGCTCCCTTAACTTTAAGAACATTTTTCGCTAACTTTCCTGAAACATGCCTGCAGAAACCCTATTCATAATTTAGCAATGCAAAAACATAAGCCATAAATAGCACTTTGATTGCTACTGGGATAATCCTGCTTCGTGGTAATCAGTGAATGAGTGGAAGGCCACAGTTGTGGAGGTATTTCATAGGAGTGATGCGGTCCGGGCTTTGTATGCACTATATGAAGAGAAGTACGTGGTGTACTCATCATTTTGATCAGTTTCGCGTTCTGAAAAGCTTCAATATTAGCTTGTTTTCCACGAGAATATTCATTGAAATTTAGTATTTCTTTGAATTCGAGGTTTTGCGGGTCGTATTTGCCAAGCTTGTATTTATTTTAAGACAAATAGAATCGAGACTAAATATAAAACAGCCAAACAACAAGGTATTTTTCACTTATGTATACATAATCGTAACACTGATCACATATTTTGTGTTTGTGTGTGAATCTACACCTTACATCTTTAAACACAGGATTTTACAGGATTTATGCTTTTGCACAATAACATTTTGTGCGAGTGCATAAAAGCTTCCCTTAAAATGCATCAGGAATTATATTGATACACATGAGAACATCCCCTTGTTTTTATTTGAAGGAAGAACAAACATATAAGAGCAATAAATCTCCATAAACACTCGTAAAACAATTACGCAGAAAACAAAATGTTTAATATATGCAACTAAATTTGACTTCGGATTAGTTATTTTGAATAAAATGTTAATTTCCCTTAGCTCAGATAGTAGATGGTTAACTTTATCAAAATAATGGAAAATCTGAGCTGCATAAGTGTATGAGAAATTGATATAGAAAATATACACCCCCAGGTCTATTCATAACATTTAGCTGGTAGCATTGTTTGTAAGGGTAACCGAATACTACAGCATTCACTGTTTTCAAATATCTTCTTTCATAAATGTGGCATATTTGCAGCTTTTAGAAGGAAACCTTCCGTCTTTGGCCCATATTGTGGTTTGGTTTTCTGATGTGTGCTCTGATGTTGGGCTGCTTGTCTGTAGAAACGAGGACTTTTTCTGAAGGGCAAAGCCAGCCTGATACCACTCAGAGCTTTCAGGTGATTTGAGATTCAGGATTAGCTTTTCTGTACATTAGCGGTTATATTCATTCATATGAATACGAGCTCTGCTTAACTAGCTGTGAACACATGGTTTTGGCTGGCAGAGTATCATGCTACTCCACCCCTAAGGCCTTTTTGGCAGTGAATGGCAAGAGTCCAGGGGAAGGTTGCATGTTGAGAGGCAGATGGCAGGGTTTGTGAGGGTGTTCAGTATTTTCTCTCTCTGTAAAAGTATACCTGACCAGGACAACAGCCTTGTGCAGGCCACAGTGAGGCTTGCTGTGCACTGAAGCAAACTTCAGCTTTATTGCAGCTACACAGCAAAAGCCAATGATGGGACACACACGCACACACACACACACACACAAATGCGGGCACACAGTGAAACATCCATATTCATACGCATGATTATTAATTTTCTTTGAAGCGGTTGCTTAAAATAATACTTTTTAACAAAAGAAACGCTTTTTTTAGTGGTTGTGTCCTCTTTGCTCTTTCAGTGTGTTTTCTTAGGCTCGAAAAAAGGTCGATTTGAAGTGTGCATTCACTTAAATCCGTACAACAGTCAAAATAACTTTTTAGATATTTTATCAGTTAATATATTTCATTTGTTTTCAATCGCTGTATTTTTAAAAATTTGATAGAAACAGCATTGTTCCATGAGCACACTGCAAAAGTAGAGCAAAAACACACTGCAGGCCACAGCTAGAACAACAAGTTCCCAAACTTGAACATGACTGTGGCCTTGAACTTGAACGAGAAAATCTGTCCCTTTCATGAAATCGTATGTTAAATCAGTATTTTTCTCAGACTATATTAGATAATGCTAAGTTCATCGAGTTTCTGTGAAGTTGCTGAAAATTCCATCTGACAAAACTTCAAAAGTTTTTAAAGGTTTGAGCTGAAAAGTGCAAAAGAAAAATATAGCACCATGGTAAAAAAAATCATACATTGTGTAGGATTATTGCTCTACGGTGTTCTCAGTAATTGTAAGTAATTATTATTATATGTCATTTTTATCCAGGCTCTTTAGAAAATGTTTCAGTAATTTTTCGTTTATGTGTTACCTTTAGTCCGTTTTAATTCGTATTTGAATTCGACATATTTGAGTTTTACGTACCAAGTAGTAAACACAGAGGGGGGAAAAACAAAAATATTGCAAAATAATATACTCCTTAATTTTTTTCCTGTGAAGAATGAATTACTTAAAAATTATAAAAACTCTGCCATTCAGTTCCAAACATTACTTAGGGATTTTTTTTCCTTTGTATGCATCTATACACAGGAAACTACACCAGAGTGCATGAAACTAAATAACATCTATTATAAGACAAATGTGTATATTTTTATTTTTATTTAAATGCAGTAATAGTTGACGAATGCACAGCATCAGCATATTTAGCTGTGAGTGTGTGTGAGAGTGTGTGTGTTGGAGAGTGTGTGTGAGTGTGTGTGTGTGTGTGAGTGTGTAAAACAATGCATGTGCAGGTTTGGGCATGTGTCCTCCACTTGTTGCTGGATCGTGAATTCGATTTTTTGTGAGTGGTTGTGGATATTTTTAATTGTTATAATAGTTCAATGCAATTTGGGATTTTAAAAATAATTTTATGGCAAAACCAGAGATCTAGCATATGTGTCTTTATTATTATTTTAAACAGTTACAATAAAAAAAGTACGTATTTATTGTTGTGATAATTCTCAGAATTTAGTTTGACCTTATATTTATCTAGTTTTACCTTTAGACTGGTGTAGGAAAAAAAATGCACAGGGCAATTATTGCATGAGTTATTTAATTCTGGATCCTAATTGCTCCAAATTTTGTGTTCTCAATAATATTATGAGCATAAATAGCCTTACAAACTGCCAGCCTGGGGCACTGCCACATGTCTGAGTTAATCGTACTTAATATTAAAAATCGCTTTTCACACAACACTGACAGAGGGAATTAACAGATGGGAACAATACCATTTGGGGGTGTAATATTGCTGTCTGTTGTGCTGTTGTTGCCTAAATAGAGACGAAAGATAATTTTGTTCTCTGGATTACTTCAGATTGTGTCCTCTGGTCATGTGTCGTGTAGCAGCACTGTAAAGACTCCCGAATGCCTCTGGATGTGAGTTTTTCAGCCAGATACATTTGAAGTGTTGAGTGTGTGGTTTAGGTCATGTGCCAGTACTCAGTGTATTCTTACTAGTGCAGCACACAGTGAAAATGACTCATTCACCAGTACAACACAGCAATAAGCCACCAATACACTGCTTCATTTGTTAAATGGATAAATTGGTATTTAAGATTATGTGATTTTGTTTCATTTATGAGCTCGCTGTGATGTTGTGAATTCCATCCAATTTCCTCCTGGCTAATATGAAATCCAGATTGGATTGGTGAATGGGGGCCAAGTCAGCACTCACTGTAAATATTTTTTTTTTCTGCCATTATAATGAAGCCTCTTTTATTTCTTGCTGCTAAAGTGGCTTCAGTGTTCTGTTTTAAGTATAATAAAACTGAGAAACCCAGCATAATGAAAGTTAAATTGTATGTTTTACCTCTCGGGAGGACTGTGAGGGTTTGGGATTCTAGACGTACATGACTGACCAGGCTGCCTTTACTGAAATGCATGTAGTACATTTAATATATTCGCCCATTCAGTATTATTTGATTTACTATGTATTTAATAAATGTTTTTAAAAAAAGAGAGAGATACGTTTATTCCTTGTTAACTATATACCGTCTGAAATTTAGATTTTTGCTAAAGTAATATATTTTGTGTTCACAGATCAATTTAATTGCTCAAATAATTCAAAAATGTAGACACTTCATGTGAAAATCTCTCGCTGTAGGAAAGGTAGACATATTTTCTATTCTTAACAAATGGATATTTAATGTGTTAAAATAATAATAATAATAATTTGATGTTACAAATGTGTTTATATAGGTTTTCTACATTGTGACTTTGCAGTCCCTTCTCATACTGATGTGCAGTATTCTTACACAAAGTGGGGAAAAGTAGCACCGTGCAGCGGGTTAATACACACAGGAAAGAAATGGAGTTAACTTGAAATTAACCACTTTTGTAGCCCAGCACCTCTAAAGGTCACAGTGCATTCCACAAAAACCTGTGATACACTTGTATTTTACCGTACTTCTGTCAATCACAGCAGCTTCTTCTTTGGGCTTTAAATTAGCAATTGTTAGTTCGTTATGAAAATCAAGGTTCAAAATCTCCTCCGGTCCAGTCAGATCGGGTTTCTGCGGTAGAAGCTGACCAGGCTTCCCGGTTGCCCTCCTGTACTGTGAATGTGGTAGAGCAGATGAGTGGATCTACAGTGGCCACTACAGGCTGTGGCACACTCATACAGGATCAGCACCACAGTACAGTAGAAAGTAGGCCAGGCCTGAAAAGAGAGGAGAAGAGCTGGACAAAGAGGCCGAGACTTCGTTACGTAGACTCACATATATCCATATACGTGCGTTTTTGGTGTTGCGGTCGTCTGTGCAGGTGCTGAAATTATTGCACAAAAACGAAATAGTCAAGGCTTAATAAACATTATAATTACAGACACGTATATGGATGCAGTTACACACATGTTGCCATGTGCACACAAAAGTCTGTAAACCTGCTTTCCCTCAACCCTCCCACTATACATGGAAGCCATTAGTGCATTACACCAGTGACTTCTAAGGACTGGCCATTTTATTCTCCCTGTGTTAATCAGGATGTCAGCTGGGAGTGTCACATGTAATTTATCCACAAAACCACAGCAGCTCCACAGAGACGGTAAGCACAGTCGAAATGACATAATATTGGACTGGGGAGAGTTTCAGGGGGTGACAGATGATGTAGATTTTCCCCTCCTGTACCTATCCCTCTTTTCCTTCCGATGTTCTGAAACAAGACCTGTGCAACTTTCACACGGTTGCTTTACATTATGGACTTTTATAGCTGAGGTTCAAGTTTTTCTCTCTCTTTTTTTGCAAGTTTTTTTTTTTTGTTCAAGGGCATTTTTTTTTTTTTTTACACATTTGCTGCACAACTAAAGTCTCGCTGCTGAAAACTGAGCATTTAAACATCTTTCTCAGAGAGAATTTGTCAAAAGTTTGACAGATTTCTTCAATCCATCAACGATTTTATTTTAAATCATTCAAATGAAACTCGCTCAATGCATTCAGTATGTATTTTAGAAACTTCAGTCTGTGGTGTACAGCATCACGTGTGAGTGTCTCCCAGCACGCATTGTCAGGACAGATACTTGTTTTATGTACCTGCCAGGCAAAGCGATATTCCAGATAACGCTGCGCTGCACCCACTCAACTTTTCTTTTCCAGCGCTCATATATTTCTTCAGCTTTTGGCCTCTGCTGTCGCCAAAGCAATTTAGTCAGAGGAAAAATGCAGAATCAGCAACATTGTTCCACTTGGAGGTAAAATTGGAAGTGTTGAAAGGCCTCGCCTGCAACTCTCCAACTATCAAAATACTGTAAATCCCTTCCCTCACCTCACCTCCACTTCATCACTTTCATACTGCTCATCAGCGCTGAGCTAAATTATGTTGGCTACATTCTGTGAAATGCACCAGTTTGGGCTTTCTTTTGTTTCTCAGTTTGGTTGACTGCAGTTTCTTCTGATTTCCACTGTGTAACCCAGCACTCCAGTAATGTTTATATACTCAGGTTTCCTTGCTTACACTGCTGTTATGTCTGAGTGACCGAAAAGTTGTAGGATTTTGAGTCAAACACAACAGGAATCACCTCACCGATAGGAGCACTTCAAAACTTCAGCTAAATAAAAAATATTTTATAACACAGGCCGGTTTTTAAAACTGTATTGTTTTCCTACAGTACTTGCAGCCATCCATGTGGTACATATACTGTAGACTATCCCCTCTGCACATACTCGCCCAGGCTTCATGAGTCATCAACATGCATACACACACAAACAACACACCCACACTCACACACAGAGTGCAGCGAGTGCACAGCTCGGACATGAATCTCCCTCCATGGGCTGGAGGAGTTGGGTTACTCATGAGCCCATAAACATGTGCTGGCAGCACTCCAAGGCACTGCACTGTAATTACAAACGTTAGAAACAATATATAAAAGACCCTTCCCCGGCAAGGCCGTGTCCCGCGCTGCAATTAGCATCCTTGTACAGAATTATCACCCTTCAGCAGCCGCCACCGCACCGAGTGGAGGCCTTTAATTGGCAGTGTCCTCCTTGGTCTGCTAGAGGACAACCCTCACATCTCTCTTTATCCTCCATCACACTCTATTTTTCTGCAATCTGAGATTTGACTAATGATGACTAACTGCCCCTGTTGTCCTTCGCCCCATTCCACCTCCACACGATTGCGCTGGCAATCGCATGCACGCTGCAAGACACCAGCAGCACGGGCGCATGTTAAAAGCCATCTCGTACATTAACGCTGTGCAGCCCGTACGTGCCCTCATGTGTGAACTGAACATACTGTGCTGCATGTGCAGAAAATCGCTTATTATACTCACAAGTACACGCAGATGCGCCACTTCACCCACGCACATGACACTGTAGGCTTTCAGTAATACAGCATGCCAAAGAGTGTGCACGTATGCAGCGAGTGGGTGCTACTGGGCAAGGCCAAGGCCGCCGCCGAGCTTGTGTGTTGGTGTTGGGTGAGCATGCGGCAGTAAGAGTTGGCCAGTGCACAGGCCAGCAGAGAGGGTGCGGTGTGTTACATGTTCCACTAATGAGTTTCCTTGGCCAGGCAAAACTGTAGGGCGAGCTTATTAGTAAACAGGCTACAGAGAAAAGACCCTACAGCCCAGTGCTGCTGCTGCTGCTGCTGCTGCTGCTGCTGCTGCTGCTGGCTCTCTAACTGATCACTCTCTGTTTCTGCTCCTCTCTATTGTTTTCTCCTCCTCTCTGTGTCTGTCTCTGTAAATTGTCTCTCCCTTCAACTCAACAATTCTCACTCTCTGTTTTTTTTTTGTCTGTCTCTCTCTTCTTGTAGCCACAGGCACAAACAATTTGGCCAGCAAGTGAAATCACGGACAGACAGACTGGCGATCACAGCAGCATTGTAAGTACTGTAATGTACTGTAAATTTAATATGTTGTTATTTAATAATGTAATGCCATTGTGTTGTCTTGCATTTCATTTAATGAGATAGGGTCTGTAATTAGATGCGGTGAAAGTTTCATTTGTTATAAGCATGTAACTGCTCTGTCTACATCTATTTTCCTCCTCTTTCCGAGACTTATTATAATGTGAGCCTGCATTAGATTAAATCATCATGGCGGGATATTGTGTCTTTATCCCATTTGAAAGGCCAAGTGGTCCCATTGGCTTATTAGTGCGGTACATTAAGACGCAAAAACAAACATATTCTTCAGTGCACATGCAGAGAAAACACTTACGGTCTAATCTTAATTGTCCACTAGGCATAGTGGAAGTCTTGACTCTGTCTGTGCCTGGTCCTGGATCTGTTAGAAAATGGCTTCCACTCTGTGCCTTCCAGCTCTCAGCTCCCCACCGCCATTTTGTGTATCGCTGCCAAAGTAGTCAGGTAGCAGGATGAGAGGGACAGAGTGAAGTGGGAGAGAAAAAAGTGGGTGCAACTGGATGCTGAGTTAAAATAAACTGAGAGGAGTGGAAGGAATCGGAGGAAAGCGGCGCTCCAATGCACAGTGACAGAATACTTAACATGTCTTTTTCTCATGGAGAGATGTATTAATTGTTCCTGGCTGACTATACAGAAACATGCAGCCTCCCTCTTTGGACCCCTTCGCTGCTCCTCTTCTCAAAGAGCTGACTTTGGGTGGACACCAGAAACACTTCTTTGTCGTTTGGGCAAACGTGCTGGCAGAGGCCACAGCTGTATCGCCCCCTCCGCCCTCCATCAGTCCTCCCGCTCTCCTAACAAAACCTGCCTGCTCCTGCCTCCCCAGAGCCTGTGTGCACGGGTGCAGCTTTAACCTCTGCTTTAATACCTGTCTCCACCCTAACCACTGTGTGCCGTTAGCTGTAGCTTCAACCCCAACTGCGCCTGTATCATATGCACTTAGTAACCCCAGGCCCCACCCTACAACCTCCAGCTACAGTAAATAGCTGTCTGCAGCTCTGGAATTCTGCATGCGCCAGGCATTTGATTACATGTGCAGATGTTATTAAAATCCTCCTCTCATCTGACCCCAAGACCACAGATACTATATCAAGTTTTCAGTTGGTGTCTGATGCTGCTGTCCTCTCGGTCGCCCACCTACCTGACAAAATCACTCTAAATCATCAGGCGTTTTAGCTCATGCTATTATGAGCGAGGCTTTAAGATTATTGGGAAAAAAATACAGACGATGTTTTTTTTCAGTTGTATAAAATCAAATTATTATAACTGATGAACCATTTCAAGTTTAACAGCTCAATATTCATCAGTTGCCACATGATTTTTTTTCAACAGTTTAAGGAATTAGCTTTTAAAGGTTTATTGTATTTTAAAAAGAGGTGCTAACTTTGACACCTTTGACATAGATTAAACATTGTTGTTCAGCTTTATGCTGCTTCATGGAAGAACCTCAATCATCCTTAATACAACTTTATAAATGAGCAGAAAATATATGTTGTTGTCTGTGGTTTAAAACACATAGAAAAACAGTGCAAGCACATAACTGGGTAATATATGTGTTTATGGCCTGCAGCGATGCTGTAAAAACTCCCTCAGTGTATCACTGTGTCTCTCTGCTGCCATGTAACTGATTTAGACACTAGGTGCAAAATATAGCAGACGTCCCTCCAGCAGTAAAACCTGGCCTATTTAGGCCTGTCACAGACAAGCTCTCATTGAGACAGGCAGTCAGTCAGTGGCTTCACTAACAGTTCAGAATGCCCTCTGTCCCCTTTGGCTACTCACTCCTTAATCTGGCCATGTGTTTGCATATGGGACAGAGCGGCCTCCATATTGTGTTTGTGGAATGAATTATGAATGCTATTGCATAACCGTGGCCTGTTTCTAGGGCATACTGTATCTCTACAGCATCTACCCAGAGACCAAAGCATGAATACATTTACCCAGCCTAGACCTCTTGGAAATGATACTGTGAAGCTGGCCTGCCTGCGTTTGTTTATGGTTATATAGAGCAGATGGCCATGCAACATGGTCACATATCACACACTGGCTGCCTCGCTGGTTCTGCCACACACATAAATGCTTATAGGCAGAAACGTAGCACTATTTGAAGGCGATTCAAAGCCACAGAAATCCATTCATTATTCCTCTATAACTCACTAGGGAGAAAGTATTAAATCTCTTTATCAGAGAACATTACTGTGTATTCCCCTTCATACTGGCAGCTGTCCTGGAACTATAGGCACTAGTGCTAAAAACTGCTGCCAAATCAAGCTTTTCAATGCTAACTGTGGTTAACTGTACTGTATTTACAGCCTTAGCTTTCAGCTGCAACTGCTAACCACAGTAGTGAGTGTGACTACACCCAGCTGTATCCTGGAAGTAACAAGCTCTTCAAGGTTACAAACTGTACAGATCCCTGTCTGCGTACTCCGGCCTTCTGTCTGTCAGCTGAAGTTCATATCCAGGGAGAAAGGTATTTGTCCCACCCTCTAAATATAGCTGGCGACAGATGCAGCTCAATGGGGCACTGCCCAAGCTGAAAGGGGCCCTGCAGGCAGGCCAGAGCAGAGCAGGGCATGCAGACGTGTCAGAACTATAGACTTCCTCTAATAGACAGACCCTATAGGTCACCAGCCGCCACATGGCAGTGCATGTTTCACCAGCTCCCATTAGCATGGCGACACAAAGACTAAGCCTGCAAACTTTTACATGAGTATAAAACAGGCAGCATTTAATGTATTTAGCGTTTTATGAGATGAATATTGACAAAGTGCATTGCTGCCAAGTATCAAAGTGCCGTCTGTCAAGAAACAGAAATTCGTTATCATCTTCCTCATTAGGTCTTTATAGACATAATGAAATTAGTGCTTTACTTTGAAATCTTTTTTAGCTTGCCCACAATTTAAACAGTTTTAGTGTACCGAATTACAAAACTTTTAACCTTATAACCCTAAAGAGGCTGCACCAGTCCTGGGTCCTGGATGCTGCTTCTCCTGTGTAAATTTGCATCTGCTTCTAACAGAGGAAGTCATTCAAGCATATGCCGAAAACTGACATGAGAAAATAATGGATGAGGTGCAATTATGTACTTTTCTACCACTTAGCAAAGATAAAACAAAAATCCATTTGTAAAAAAATAATAATAAATTCTTCTTATTAATGTGTTAAGTGTCCTCGATTTAATCATCAGTTCAGTTCAGTTGAGCTATTAGAGTGTAATGAAGCGTCTGTGTGGGGTTTTTGTCTTCCCCCCCTAAAATGAGACTGGTTACCTTTAGCGCTAATGTACGTGGTGGTCGAAGCGTGTTTAAAGTGTTCTAATATGCAACAGTAACAGACACCTGCTATAAACAAGCCATTCCTGTGTAGACCTGTGTCATGGAGTGCATCCTGCAGCCTGTGAGCATATGCATGCAAATGGGGTGTATGTTTCTCTGTGTACATGTGACTGTATACTGTGTGAGAGAGATGAGAAGCAGCTGGCAAGGTTGGGCTGAGTGGTCTGGGCAACCCCTGCTGCGTGCCCTGTCATTACAATGATTGGGGTCATTTTTTACCTCTAAAGATGGGGCCGCGAGGCTGCGCCGGGATCAGCTAAGTCTGCCTAATCCAACCCTTTTCACCTGGCATGTTTATGGCCCTACTGGGGGATGGAGGGGTAAGTCACCGGGGCCAGTTCATCTCACAGCCTGACAGGCAGACACACATATTATGCACATAGGCGTGAGTACATGCACACTCCATCACACACGTATGCACATGTTGACCTGCACACAGAAACACCACCAGTACGGTACACATGCATCAGTGTTGGTGCCTAGACCTTTTACTGTACACTCACGCACCCATAAAGTCGCTGTTCTTTCTCTCTCCTAACACGCATTCGCGCAAGGTTTGCGAGCTCAATATCTGCCTCATGCAGAGGTGACGAGGAGGTCAGCCTGTCTGACTTTGAGCAGAATCCCCCTGTGGCTTGCCCCAGCCATTCCCTGTGGCATGTGTAACAGGACCTGCCCATGCAGCCTCTCCTCTTCCCCCTGCTCCTGTCCTCCTCCTCCTCCTCCTCCTCCTCCTACTGCTGCCTGCCCCTTGGCCCTGGTATAAATAGATGGGTCATGCCTGCTGTGCTACCCTGAGGGGGCGTGTGGGGGAGGAGGGGGGCACAGTAGCCATGCTTCCCTTTATAAATGCTCTGCCGTTTTCTATGTGGATTCCTCCTGTCTGTACCCAGGCTTCTCTTGTGGCCGGGCACTCACGTAGATGCACACAGACGAGAGAGAAACAGGTATTTCGGACCACATCAGTCGTATATAGGGAAGCCACAATGACGAGCACATTGCGGTTGACTGTACTTGTAAAACTTAAGCGTCCATATAGTGTTGTGGTGCCGTAAAGGACAGGCGGAGGAGGAAGTGCCTGAAAAAGAGCCGTTTCTTTAAAGTCACCAAGTTTAAATAAAGATGAAAAGTGAGCTACAGTCAGTACAGTGAGTAACTTTCTACACTGAATATCACTTCATTTTTTTTTTTGCTATATTAGTGCCACTACAAAACCTTTCATTTCAGGAACAAAGTACAAATACCTCAATAATATCCTGAATTAAATAATCCAAATTTGGTATGTTAAAAAAAAACAGCAATTATCCAATCATATGTGAGTAAACAAGATGATGATGTCACATTTCTGCACTTGAAATTGTGCGATATTCTGTGCTGGTCATCAATATGTGTACTCAACAGTTTGATACAAAGCCTTATTTATGGGTCCTGCAATTGCCTCAGTATTTGCACAACTGTGCTGCTATCATGGTCAAGAGTCTCTCACAATGGAGATATCATAATCTCAAAAACCTATCTGGATAATTTAAGGCTTACAATAAATGTACACATGTACACACCCACAACCCCCACAGCACATTTACAACAATAAACAAGCGATTTAATCAAATTGTTTTTAACTTATAACATGATGGATGAGTAGAAATTTGCTGGATTAATTAGGATTTGAGGTTGTATGTTGTGTAAAAGCTTCTTTTTCTGAATTATCCGCCCACTGACTGACCACAGAACCCCCAAAGATCAGCTTACAAGGTTACAGCGCTCCACCTTACTATCGCTGCAGTTCAGCTCAGCTTCGGTATTGATTGATAGGCGCTGTAGCACTTAGACTCAAGTGTGATTGAATTAAAGTGACTTTTTAAGCCATGCGTGCCTTTGCTGTGAACACTGTGTGAAACTGTGATGAGGTAAATGAATACCATGTTTTTTAGTATCAACTCTGAAGGGTGTTTTTCCAGGTTTGCACGCGCGAACATGTGCGTGCATTTGAAACGGTGTCCTTGTGTGTGTGTGTATTTGTTTATGCACCCGTGCGTACATGCCCCACGGTGTGTGTGTTTGTGTGACATTATGAGACGATGAGGTGTAGAAAGCAGGACTTTGCACCACGGCCCCTCTAAACAGCTAATGGAGGTGTGAGGCTCAAGCAGCATATCGGTTACAGACACTGTGCTTTCAAGTGAAGGAATGTTTGCTGAGTTTGCATACTTTTAAGAAGGCTGGATTTCAGGTGGACAACCTCTCAATAAAGGAGGTGTTTTTAGATCGCATTGCATAACTGCATAAAAAACCCCTAAACAAGTGTGCGCGAGGGTACACTGCTGTGTGTATATGTGCTTGCATTGCATATTGGTCTTCTGCAGTACGTGTGTGTGGGAGTGAGTGTGAATATTTCCCTGTCACTGGCTGATGGCAACTGGCTTCACTTGAAAGCAATAGCTTTCCTGGACATGCACTCTATTGGTCGGGACCCCAGGGCCATATACTATATTAGATTGAAGTATGTCCAGTCAGCAGACTGAGAGGACAGTGTGCCTTGACCCTACCTTATGAAGTCGGGGCCCCACGCCTCTGAGCGTTTTGCAGGACTGCACAATGAGAACTGGCCTACATGCTGTAGCAGACAGTTTTCTGTATTTAGTTACTGTTTAAGCACTTCAAGTCAATGCATATTAATGATTTTTTTAAATGCTTGGTTTGAATATAATAAAAGAACTACTTTCATTTAAAGTTCAGGTTTTCTGCATAACAGTGTTCTAATGCTCATTTCAAGTTCAAAATGTAAAAAAAAACAACAACAATTTTTCAATTTTTATTGTTGTTTGTTTTGCTGTTGAATAGCATGAGCTTTAAATGAAATCTGTCCCTGTGCAGTATTCTCTCTGTGTGGCCCTACAGTAGGTTTCCTTATTTCTACCATCAGCTTGTGTCTGTCTGCAAAGTGTCTGTGTGCTCCATGTGTGTGTGTGTGTGTGTGTGTGTTACCTCGTAAGGGTGTGTGCCTGTGCATACTTACAAGCCACAGCGCTATGGTGTAAGTAAGGCAGTGTTGAATAATGCAGAGAGCCTCAGACTCACCACTGAGCAGACACAATGGGGCCTCTCAGCTCAAGACATACCGTTCTGTATTGTGCTGCGCTGTACATTTGCGCCTTCACATATGTGATGCTATTACTGAAGAGGTGCATGCTGACAAAGATCACTCAGATATGGTTTTTGCTTCAGCGGATTGTGTGACAGTCAAACATGCAAAACGGTGTGGTTTTATCACACGAGCATGAGCCGTGCAGAGTTTCATGTGAGCATACTGTAAATAAACTTAACCCCACGCACAAATTGTAAGCAAACCTCAACAATATGTTTTCACCCCCAAAAAATCCAAACCTCTCTCTTACAAACTGTCAGCCACCGGGGTGTTTGCAATTGATCTTGCAGACGTCAAATCTAAAAGTCATCATGTTGAGGTATTTCTGTATTTCTCTGTTTTCCTTTGTTGCACAAGTAACAGATTTTCCCTCTCCGGGTTTTGTTTTTTTTTTTCAGACGGAGTCTACCTGACATGCTGTTGAAACGGTGATGGAGGGAGGAGGCGATAGGCCAGTGCGCCCCCCCTCCTCCACTTCGCTGCATGTTACAGAGCAGGTGAGAAACATTAACAGAGGCAGCGACTGCGGCCTCTGCTCCACACATGTGGGCCAGGATATGAGCTAGCTCCAGCTCGCCTACTCTCAACACTGGTCAGTAATGTTAACACTCTCCTCTCAGAACCACAGAATACGGCCCAGAGGAACTGGAAACAGCACAGATTATTGTGCAGATCTTTTTCTTTTTGTCACTTATCGTACATTTTTATAAACATAAGCTACAGAGCAGTTCTTTACCTATGTGATAGGTACAGGTTGCAAACAACTAGTAGTTTTCCTTTCAGACTTTCATGTGAATCATTACAGAGCTCTGAAATGGCAAAACTTAATTCTTTGTTCATGTTAATCTTCCTGCCAGCAGTCTGACATTGATATACTAAATTCTAAAACACACATAGAAAGTATTTATTGAACATTACACTTGATGTTGATAGTTTAGAGGTGAAACTACTTTCATTAAATTTCTCATTGTTAATGTACCATTTTAGTTACTTATTGGGTGCATTTGAATATGTAAATATCTTGGCTATACAATTTGTTTGGGACATGTGCACCTTGTTGGGTCATTTGAATTCCCTCTCAGCTCCAGCCATGAACTCAGAGACCCAGTTGTCACATTGTGTTCTGAACACACAGACTCCAGTCAAAGCAGTTGAGGTGTCCCACAGGAGAATGGCCTGTATATTTGTGTTTCTGTGAATCATAACCGCTGTTTTGCATTCAGTGAGGTGTGTCAAAGCGGATTACCTGCATGAACGGGGACCTGAAAGGACTTTGTTTTTTAAGGACTGTCCTTTGGGGTGAGGTAGTAGGTTGTATAGTTTTAGGGTCATACCCTTCCTGTCAGATAACTATACAACTTACTGTCTTTCCTGAAGTGGCTGTAATGTCGTCAGATGCCATTGTTGGAGCTTTTGGATCCAGATCAACACTGGAATGTGCCTGTTTGCTCACTGACTGCTAAGGACATAACTCGGTTGCAGCATTTGATAGCAGTAAGTCATTTAGGATTGTATCTGCTTGAAGAATTTTTCCATCTTGTGATTTTCACAGTTGTACTTTATGATCAATAAAAACTTTTTTTTTTCTGAATCTCTTTGTACTACACAAACAACAGCAAAACTATTTTCTTAATATCTCCTGTGACGCTGTATGCTGTGTAAACACTGTCAGCTTTTATTTACTTTTGCTCGTATTTAACTGTCTCGTGTATGATTATGACAAGATTGTGTTTTAAAAATTAAAACTTGACTTGCAGGCTTAGTCGTTGCTGCTTCTCTGTGATTTGAAGTGTATCTGTTGTTGAATGAGTATGTGTTTATGTTGCTATGAGCAAATGCACCGTGTTTGTCTGTTCACACCAAAGACTGCCAACCTGTAGGACCTTTCTGATGTTCGTACGGGGTGAGGTAGTAGGTTGTGTGGTTTCAGGGTAGTGATTTTGCCCAATCAGGAGATAACTATACAACCTACTGCCTTCCCTGAAGGGCAGCAATACTACACCATACAGACATCAGGAGACATCAGAAAGACTCCCAAAATCAAAAGACCAAACCAGGTCAACTGTCTGGCCTAGAGCCACTTCTTACCTGGGAAACAAGCGTCCGCAGTCAATCGTAGCAAAGAGAACCAGCAGGTAAAGTCTTTTCACTCTGGAATTTTTCTTTGATTTGGATGTTCTACTTCAAACAATAATAAATTTAAAAAAAGAAAAATAAGATGAGAAATTTGTCTTTTGTGTTCTGTTCTTTGGTTTGTTCTCACATCCCACGTTTCAAACTCTGAGGCTATTTACAGTTGAACAACTGCACTGATGCCAAATGGTTTCCAAAGGCCTGCCAGTCTTGTGATGAAGTTTACATACAGGATGCGTGAGAGCTTTACTCTCTTGCTGTGAAAGCCAGAACTTATCGTCAATGTGGCACTCATCTGGAACATCGCTGGTCAGTTCTGATCACTCCATCCAGTCTGCTAAGCCTGTATTGAACATATCCAAACATTGCTGTCATTGTGTGCTGAGTTGTTTAGAAAATATTGGAACTATATCTGGGGGGGGATGACATTTTGACTACCTCCATCCAGTCCTGGGATCAGCTAGCAGCCTAGATAAAACCCCAGAGCAAAGCAAATGGAAAGAAGAGCCATGGCACTATCTCACCTCCTGGACTACAGCATGATCCATATGGCAACAGATGATGGTTATAGTATTCTGTCACTCTCTGGCCAGCAACACACACACACACACACACACACAGATAACGAGGTGAGTGCCAGCCGGTAATAGGCCAACTTGGGCATCAGACATGCCTCACTGTCTGAGACCGCAGTCCTGTATCTCATATCAAGGTCAGTGAGAGCCCTCGCTCACCCCTGTATCTGCACTCAACAGCCAAGTAACCAACGATCAACTTTGTGTCAAAGGTAACTGCTTATTAATATGCGGTCAGCGCAGACATTAAAATTCTACCGTGCACACTTGTGCTGCCTCACTTTGTATGCCACACATATCAGTCAGCGTTCACCAAATGACACAGTGAGAGAGGTTGCTTGACTGGACATCACCATGGCACAGAGCTGTAACATGTAACGTGGGAAGAAGTCTGCCACTGTGTTGTGTCCTATGCGTCTAGACCAGCGTTGGGTGTATTTGTATGTGGGCCGTCCCCCGCCAGCCACCATATTGAATTGATTTAGCCTTGGCCATGGTGATAGAGCAAAGGGAGCTGAATACTAAGCCTGATGAGACAATGGCTCTGTGTGCATCCTGTCTCTAGAGTTGCATCTCTAAAGGCCATCCTCCATCCTTCATCTCCTCCTGCCTCGCCACTTCAGAAAAAAAAAAAAAAAAACCTACCAAAAGCTTTGACATCAACCCTGGGATATTTTTTTCCCACACAATAAGGAACTAATGAAATGCTTGTGAGAATCAGTCTGAAACACGTGAGTCAGAATTCAATAACGTAGTGTTGTTTTATCCAAAGTTGCCAGGAATTTGAAAAGAATGATACTCGCAGCCGTGCTTTTCAAAGCCTTTGTATGATGTCATAGCCGTATAAATGGAATAGTGTTATTGATTGAATGTAAGTGGATAGGATGGATTGAAGGCTCTGTGTGGGCTGCTCCCTCAAATAAACCACCAAGCAATGTGCATTTGAAATGAAGCAAAAGCTAAGCAACGGTTTGAAATAGATGCAGCCACATTAATCAGTGACACGGCGATTATAAAATGTCACATTCCATTTAAAATGAAGGCCAAGAAAATGAAAGAATCCATCTCTATAGCAATTAAATTTAGTCACTGTTAATATTTAGATTTCCTACACGTAGAAACACACAATTTTAATATAATTAATCACTCATATAACTTCAGTACTAGCAGTTCTAAGGCCCATCTCTCTCTCTGTTATAGGTACAACAAAAGCGCCACCTAGTGGATCCCCTCCAACAGTCTTTTTGTGTATGCACTGAATTCACCTAATATTCTCATTCTGTTATACTGTTGTTTCCTCCTCCTCTAAGGCCTGCACCTACTTGGATTATTGAGTAACATCCAGATTTTTTCTTGTATAATCATTTTGTCTAAGAATAGTGAAAAATCTTTTTACTATTAACCGACAATGTTTTGCTTTCTTTTGTTTGAAGAAACAGTATCCAATGATTAACAATTTATTATGACAGAAGACAAGGGAAAGTAGCACATTCTTAAAATTGAGAATATGGCAGTAATTATTTTTTGGTCATTTTTAAAATGTTTTAAACAGCTGATGATCAAAATATTGCCAATTAGCTACTCAGTAAATCATCTAATTATTGCAGCTCTGATCCTCCATTTCACTATAAAGCACACAACATGCTAACATAGTGCAATGTCAGCTCACTTCTGAAAGTCCTTCTGCCTTCGGAGCGAGAGTATACATGCACAGCCATACATGTGTATTGCACATTCCTCTCCCCACTTCACACTCTGCATACAGGACATTGTGTATGTAGGTCTGTCTGGAGACTTGGTACATTGTGTTATTAATAAATGCAATAAGGGCACTTGGGAGAGGCAGACAATGACAACACTGATATCTTATGACTCAGATGACGGAATTTGTCACTGAACTGTTGCCTACTTATAAGTAACCTTTGTGTGAACTGTGACAATACTCCTTCCCACTGACTGCATGTGTGTCCATAGGGAAAACTCTTTATTGTTCTCTTCTGTTTTTATCCTCATTCACTATTAGGGTCAAAGGAGGGTGTTGTATGTTGTATAGATTGCAAAATTTGCAAATTTGACATTTGGCCAATTTAAATACAGTTGACTTGACACTGCATGAAAGTATACAATTAATTAGCTGTTAGGAAATTTAGTCATTTAAGTTATTTGTAGTTTACTGTGTCAGTGGGTGGTTCTTTAGAAAAAAATCTAAAATCATAGTGACTGCAGGTGCAGTAGCTGCCATCTGCTGGTTCTCAGCAGCAGGTGGCAGCAGAGGTTTGTTTTCTGATAAACCTAATGACCCACTTCCATACTGTACATCAGTAGGTCATCGAGTTAACGCTTGTCAAAGGTGCAAGTTAGTTCCAAAAAACCTGACACTTGTGTTTTGTAACACTCCAAATACATATGTGACTGAGACATTGTATGTTGCAGTGTGATTTAGTTGAAAGCAGTTTCAAAAACAGGGAAACCCATGAAGTTCAGTGTGGAGCACTGATACTTCCACTGAGCTGTAATTTTGAAGGCTTGGTTCCCCTTCATAACCATAAATTACTTCATCATGCCGTTGCTTCTTCATAGTTTGTTTTATTACAGCTAGGTTCAGTTCAGGGACAGACATGTTGTAAGCAAATGGGCAGTTGTCATTATATTATCTGGATGTGGAGAGCTCTCTAAGTCTCCTCTTAATTGGGAAACCAGCTGCTGTCCAGACAGAAAGTCTTGACCGTAGCCTATTACTGTGGACTCTGTTTCTGTCTGCTCTCTTGAGTTGTGTTGCAACGAGCCGTATCTTCTGAGTCTAATGTTTCTCCATGTCCTCCTTGCATGAAGAAATCACCAGTGGCTGTGGATAAACTCAGTGCACCGCAGCTGGCATCTGTGTGGATGTGCGCTGGAATATCACCTATTGCTGTAAGATTTTGCATTTACTAGTTTTATATTTATTGTAGATCTCTCTGACTTTCAACTTGTTCTGTTGCAACGGTGGAGTGTAACTATACATTTGTTTATGTACAGTTACTATGCTACACTTCCCACCTTATACCACTAATACTTCTGATCATAGTAGAATCAAATATTGTACTTTCTACCCAACAATAATGTGATAACTGCAGTGATAGTTTAGTGCCTCTAAAAAGGATTCACCCCCTGTGGACGTTCCCCTTTTTATTGCTTTTCAACACTGAATCCTGTCAATATATTTTGACAATTTAAACAAGAATTTATAAAAAAAAAAAAAGCTCTTGCATGGCGAGAAGCATCCACAAATCATGATGCTGCCACCACCGTGCTTTGCAGTGGGGATGATGTGTTTTTGGGGATGTGCACCGCTTGGTGTTCATCAAAGATATCGTCTAGTCTGATGACCTAAAAGCTCTATTTTGCTCTCATCAGATCAAATAAACTTCTTCCACTTGACTTCAGAGTCTCTCACATGCCTTCTGACGAACTCTAATAGAATCTAATATGAGGTTTCATCCAACAGTGGCTTTGTCTTTGCCGCTCTCCCATCAAGCTGTGACTACTGAAAACCCGGGGTAACAGTTATTGTCTGCATAGTCTCTCCCATCTCAGCTGCTGAAGCTTGTAACTCTTCAAGGGTAGTCATAGTTGTCTTGATGGCCTTTCTTATTAGTGCCTTCCTTGCACAGTCGCTGAGTTTTTGAGGACGGCCTGCTCTAGGTAGATTTATGCATGTGCCACATTCCTCCCATTTCTTAGTGATAGATTTAACTGTACTCCACAGGATATTCAGTGATTTAGAAATATCTTGCATCCATCCCTTGATTTATGGTTTTTAGTAACCTTTTCATAGAGTTTCTTGGAGTGTTCTTTTGTGTTCACAGTGTAGTTATAACAAGGAGTACTGATTCACCAGTGATGGGATATTTCAGATGCAGGTGTCTTTACGCTACAATCACTTGAGACACATTCACAGCACTGAAGATGGTCTCCATCCCATTGTGTGATTTCTCGCACTATGTTGCGCACCTATGTTGACCTATGTCATCTATGGGATGAAAGGATGAATGAGATGGTCACTCATTCACATTTTATACAAAAGTTTGTAGAAATCTTTTTTCATTTTGACATGAAAGACTATTTTTTATAAATTTTTGTATAAAAAAATCAAATTATATTGAAATATGGTCCATTGCTATAAATTATGGTTCACTTATGTTTCTTTGTGGGAGCTCTTGACCATGCAAACTTTTCACTCGGTTATCTTGAGATGGGATTGTTTTGTCCAAGGCATGTTTTTCAAGGTGAGGACTGAACCTCCGGCTAGAACTCAAAGAGTCATGATTGAAATCAGTTCCTATGTCAACAGATTTGTCTCAATTGTCAAGAATGAGAACGACCATGAAAATGGTGGGATACAGGTCACAGCTCCATAAAAAGCTAGTAAGTGGGCCTTTAGGTTGGACTGTTTCATCAGACGACGATAATTAGTATTAACAATCTATAAACATATAACACTATAACAATCACAGTAGTTTTTCTAAACA